TTATAAGGGGTACTACACTAAAATCTAATAGCATATGAGATTTACCTTATAATTGTATTTGTTGGGCTGAGAAAGCCCTTAGGACCTTTTCAATGACAAAGGCTCGGGGTGATGATGTATTAGCGGAAGCGTCTTAACGAGACTGGGTATTAGTGTGTAAGATGTCAACATATGTCAATCATTTTTTATATAATTGTTTGTAGTGATGCTGTAGTTGTCTCATGTGGGATGGTGGTGCACCTCCTTGCCTAGCTTCTTCTTGCTTGCTATATCTTGTACTTTTCTTCCTTAGCAAAACCCTTCTCCTTTTCTCAACTTTGATCCATGGCTCCTATGGCTCCTAACTTGGCCTAGCTTTATCTCGACATGGTATTAAGAGCTGTTCATTCCTGTGGACGTTCTCCCCTAATGGGCCCACCGTTAGCTTCCGCTACTCTGCTGCCTGTCGTGCGCCCCGGGCGTGCGTCGGTTTTCTGCTCGTCGCGCTTCGGGCGCGCGCGTCGATTTTCTGCCCATCGCGCGCCCCGGTCGCGCGTCGAATTTCTACCCATCGCGCATCCAGGTTGCGCGTCGATTTCCTGCCCGTCGCGCAGCTCCTACCCCCCCCCCCCCCCCCCCCCCCCCCCCCCCTTTCTCCTCCATCTCTCTGCTGCGCGTGCAGCCATGGGGGGGGTATGGGGGTGGCGGGCGTGGTATGGGGGTGGCGGGTGTGAGAAACCAACTGCCGCTCCTCCTCCTCCGTCTCCCACTGCTGCAGCTACCGCTGAGGGGGGGAGGGTGTGGGGGAGCCGGGGCAGTGGCGCTAGGGATGCAGAACGGGGAGTAGAAGGGGGTGTGGGACAATGGGGGGAGGTTGAAAGGAGGTAGCCGCCATGAAGCCAGCAGCTCCAGTAGTCCGGATGCCCTTGCTCCGGTAGCCCGTGAGCCCGTTGCTCCAGTCGCCCGTGGGTCAGTTGCTCCAGCCGCTCGTCTAGCCGCGGAGCCAGTTACTCTAGTAGTCCGAACGCCCTAGCTCCGGTAGCCTGTGTGCCAGTTGCTCCAGTCGCCCGTGTGCCAGCAGCTTCAGCTGCCGCCTCCTACCTCCTCTCCTCTCATAGTCCCTCCTCCTCCTCACTTGCCCTCTGCTTCTACCGCTGCACTTTGCATGGTGTACCCCGTCACGGGGCGTTGCTACACTTATCCCTACAAACAATTATGGGGGCGTGTCAACATATGTCAATCATATTTTATATAATTGCTTGTAGTGATGGTGTAGTTGTCTCATGTGGGATGGTGGTGCACCTCCTTGCCTAGCTTCTTCTTGTTTGCTATATCTTATACTTTTCTTCCTTAGCAAAACCCTTCTCCTTTTCTCAACTTTGATCCATGACTCCTATGGCTCCTAACTTAGCCTAGGTTTATCTCGACATAAGAACAAGATAAGTTGATTATAATGCAGGGATACAGGGTTTATATATGATTACAGAAATATTAGAAACTTAACCCTTTTTTGTCCAACTGTAATTGTAACTGCTATTGCAGTTTGACTCAACAAGTGTACAGTTATTATAGGGCTTGAAGAGTTACAAAGGGTACTACACTAAAATCCAATAGCATATGAGGTTTACTTTATGATTGTATTTGTTGGGCTGAGAAAGCCCTTAGGATCTTTTCAATGACTAAGGCTCGGGGTGATGATGTCTTAGCGGAAGTGTCTTAATGAGACTCGTTGAACCACCTTGTACTAGTGTGTGAGAACAAGATAAGTTATTTATAATGCAGGGATACAGGGTATATATATGATTACAGAAATATTAGAAACTTAACCGCTTTGTGTTCAACTGTAACTGTAACTGCTATTGCGGTTTAATTCAATAACTATATAGTTATTGTAGACCTTGAAGACTTATGAGGGGTATTACACTAAAATCTAATAGCATATGAGATTTACCTTATGATTGTATTTGTTTGGCTGAGAAAGCCCTTATGATCCTTACAATGACTAAGGCTCGAGGTGATGATGTATTAGCGGAAGCGTCTTAATGAGACTGGTTGAACCACCTTGTACTAGTGTGTAAGAACAAGATAAGTTGATTATAATTCAGGGATACATGCTTCATATATGATTACAGAAATATTGGAAACTTAATTGCTTTGTAACTGTTATTGCAGTTTGATTCAGCGACGACTCGGGTAACTGCTCAATAACGAGTCAGTTATTTGTCCTTGCTGTCGTGCTATTTTGTCGAGTCAAAGGTCGCTGACCTTTGACCTTTGCTTCAACTGCTTACTGTTGTTGCTTTTGTTAACCGCTTCACTGTAGCTCGGTTGACTCGGTGTTGCTTCGTTGTGGATATGCTTCGTTCTTATTGCAGTGCTCGATATGCCAGAAGTGCAAACTATATGTTTCCAACACTCCCCTTTGCTTGCAGTCAGTCACTTTTGATACTGGTGACGTGGCCTTGTCCAGTCAGCAGCATGCAGTATTCGAACATCTGCTTTCAAGTTTCTTAGTCAGGTAATCTGCTGCCATCTCGGACGTGGGGCAGTAGGATAGCTCGAGTCTTCCTTTCTCGATCTCGTCTTTTACGAAGAAATATCGCAGAGCGATGTGCTTCGTTCGGTTCGCGAACCCGTTTTTCTTCGCTATGCGAATTGCCGATTGGTTGTCGCAGAAGAGGGAGAAGCTGGGTAACTGAGCCAGTTTTGCTTCTTACAGTAGTTTGCGAAGGTACAGCCCTTCCTTGGTGGCTGTGCAAAGTGCAATGTATTCTGCTTCAGTGGAAAAGAGAGCAATTAGTTCTTGTTTGCTCGACTGCCATAAGATGGGACCGACGGGCTCAAGTCGATAGATGTAGCCGGTGCACGATCGTCTGTTGTCGGAGTCGCCTGCGTGGTCGGCATCCACATAGCCGATTAGCTTTGGAGTCGTGGTTCCAGTTTTGTGGTAGGCAAGGCTGACAGCTGGTGTGCTGACGAGGTATTGCAGTGCGCGATCGAGTTCTGCCATGTATTCTGCTTCAGGCCTTTTGAGATAGGTAGCGAGTTGGCTTGCCGAGTATGACAGATCCGGTCGATAGGTGACGGCTGCGAAGAGTAGACATCCCAGTTTCCGCTGGTAGTCGCGTAGGCCGGCAGGTTCGAGCGGATTAGATTCTCCCTGGTGGTTTCCCATGGTGTAGCAATAGGGCGTGGAGATGGCTGCTAGCGTTAGTCCGAAGCGTTTTGCGATGGTGTCAGCGAATTTTGAGGCGCTGAGGTAGATCGCGTTTTTTTCGTCGAGTATGTTGAGCCCCAGGTACTGAGTCACGGTAGGGGAGACTGTGAGTGAGAGGTCCTACTCCAGCTCCCCTTCGAACCAGGTGGTGATGCCGCCGGTTGAGCCTATGTAGAGTAGGTCATCTACATAGACGATCACCAGGATGTACTCTGTTATGTGATGCTATCATTCGCATTCACGTCTGTCTGCCTCCCATCATATGTTCGTGCGTTGCATGCGTGGTGTGAGCGTGTGCAAGAATTTGTGCTCGGTGTATTTTGGTTTTTCTGAGTGTGTGTGAATGTTATTTGGCCTGAGCAGATGTTTGAAGTGACTGCTCAGCTCAAGAGCTTTCCGACGAACCAAGAATCGTCGCGATCGGAGCACGAACGAGAAAGTTGCGAACATTTGAAGTTCGTATGCTTTTGATATTTGGTTGTGGCGACTATGGGAATTTGTGGTGTGACTCAATATGGGGTACAGACTTTTGGGGGTTGGGAAATTCGTCCCCATTACTGTAGATGTTTCCAAGTGGTTGGGAGAAGCCAAACCAGGTTGGGAAGTGTGGCCAAGTTGGGTGAGGTGGATGGCATGGGTTGGGAAAGTGACAAATGTCAAAGTTGGGGTGCCTATAGAGAAGGAAATTGTATGGTATGGGGTTTCCTTGGTTGGGGACTCCTTGGGGACCTTCCCTCTCGTCCTCCTCTTCCCTCCTACCTGGTTTGTAGCTACTCTAATTTTTCTTTGTGGAACTTGTGAGAACTATTGTGATTGAGTTAAGTTTCTATGGCAGCTTACCCCCTAGTGCGTCGAAATTCATAACTCGAGTTATACTCTATCTTTTGATGCGATTCAAATTGGGAATGATAGCCACGGTCAAGGGCTACATCATACTCGAGTTTTGAAAGAATTCCAACCGTTAGTCTTTCGTCGACGGCGTTTCTTGTGAAGTCGACATTTCTGTCCAGAAATTGAGACCAACGATTTTGAGATATTTCGGCCCCTAAATGTTCTAGACTCCGTCTTTAGTCTCTAACAATGGTATGGGGTTTCCTTGGTTGGGGACTCCTTGGGGACCTTCCCTCTCGTCCTCCTCTTCCCTCCCACCTGGTTTCTAGCTACTCTAATCCTCTTTGTGGAACTTGTGAAATAATTGTTATCAAGTTACGTTTCTATGGCAGCTTACCCCCTAGTGCGTCGAAATTCATAACTCGAGTTATACTCTATCTTTTGATGCGATTTAAATTGGGAAAGATAGCCACGATCAATGGCTACAACAAACGTGAGTTTGAGAGAATTCTAACGGTGCGTTTTTCATCAACAACGTTTCTTGTGAAGTCGACGATTCTGTCCAGAAATTGAGACCAACAATATTGAGTTATTTCGGCCTATAATCTTCATAGACTCAGTCCTTAGTCTCTAACAAGTGGTATCAGAGCTGATTGAGGACTTTGTGGGGAGTCTACTGAGGTGTGAAGACCCTTCTAGACCCACCATGGCCTGTGGGCGTGCCTAAGTGGTGTTCTGAAGGTTGGATGTGACTTCCGCTAAGGGGAAACTCTGCCGAAATTTCGTTGGCGCCAACACTTGTGAAAAAATTGTGGATCTATATTGTGACCAGCAAAGGGGGAGTTGAAAGTTGTGATTGGGAGCAGAGGAGATGAGTCAAGGGAGTGGAGATGCAGCTGAGAAGAGGAGTGAGCCGCCACCATCCAAGATTGAGGCGTTGGATGGCTCCAACTACGAGGAATGGAGTGGGCGGATGAGGAGCGTCTTCAAGCGCTACAAGCTGCTGAAACTTGCGATGGGAGAAGAGAAAATGCCCGAGGAAGGAGATGCTCGGGATCGGTGGATTGAGCGGAGCGCGGTGTTGTTCGACCTCATCTTGCAATCGGTCAACAACGACATGTTCCAGCACATCAAGGACTTGGTCGAGTTGGACGACTCCGGTCCTAAGGCGTGGAAGCTACTGCGCGACGTGATTCAGCCCAACACGCTGCCCATGGTGATCGTGCTCGAGAAGGAGCTGGCGGCCATCTCCATGCGATCGGGAGATGATGTGAAGCCGGTCCTTGACAAGATCAAGGACACCTATGCGAGGATGGCAGCGGCGGGCAGCAAGGTGTCGGAGATGCAGCAGTGCACCAAGATCATCTCGGTGCTCGACAACTCGTGGGAGAACCTCATCCCCACCCTCAACGTTCAGCAGGACAAGTGGACGCCTGAGTGGCTACGGCAGCAGATCCTGCAAGAGGACTTCCGCAGGCGCCACACAGGAGGTGGTGCTGCCAACAAAACTGCTGAGGGGTATGGAGCTGCAGGAGGAAGCAGAGGAAGAGGGGGAGGGAGAGGCCGAGGCCGTGGGAGAGGCTTTGGCAGAGGAAGAGGTCGAGGTGACTACAATGAGGGGCATGGGAGCTCTGGTGGCAGGGGGAGCACCCAAATGGAGGGTGCGTGCTGGTACTGCAAGAAGGCTGGACACCCATGGTTCAAGTGTTTCAGCCGGCCAGAGGGATGGGCGCTTTCAGGCATGAAGCCGCCAAGTGGTGAACGCGCGCGAGGTGGCGCTGTGCAAGGTTCAGGTGCACAAGGTGATGGTGCACAAGGTAAAGCCTCCCCTGGGATGTTCTTGATGGTTGAGGATGTGAAAGGGAGTGAGGGTGATGTGGGTTCGGTTGGGAAGGTTGTGATGCACCCCCTCACTCACTGGGTGATAGATTCAGGTTGCACAAGCCACATGACCCTATGGGCAGATTTGCTTGATGAGGTAAAGCCCCCTGGGAAGATCAAATTTGTGGCTGCCGCTTCAGGTGCTTTGCTCCCAGTGATTGGTGTTGGAAATGCTAAGGTAATAGGAGCAAATGGGGAGCTTGTGGGACTTGGGAATGTGCTGCTAGTTGAAGGTTTATCCGCTAACCTCCTCTCTGTGCGCCGACTGCAGAAAAGCAAGGCCAAAGTTACGTTCGGCCCAACCAGCTTGCTGCTGTGGGATTTGGAGGAGAAGAGCAGCTGCATCAAGGACCTGTGGCAGCTGCCCATCATCCCTTGGAATGGGAAACCACGAGCAAGGGCAACGGCAGCGGCAGCGGCTAAAGCAACTGCAGGAGGAGAGGAGACTGCACCAACTGCTGGGGCCCTGGATGCAGTCAAGAAGGTGCAGTAGCCACAGCAGCTTCTTGGTGAGGTGCTTGCTGGTGTGGATGCGACAGCTGCATGGGCAAAGGCTTCATCTGGGAGTGGTGAGGCCGATTGGGAGACGTGGCACAAGAGTCTGTATCACATCAACATCCCTATGCTGCAGAAGTTGGTGAAGGATGGGAGCTTGAAGGGGCTGGAGGTGAAGGGGGCAGCAAAGGAGATTGGGAGCTGCCCTACATGTCTTGAGACCAAGTTCACCAAGTTTCCCTTCAGCAGCAGCACGGGACCAGCCAAGGCACCACTTGCGCTTGTGCACATGGATGTGGTGGGCCCCACGAGGGCCCCTTCTCTCTCGGGCAGCCGCTATTTCTTGACCATTGTGGACGACCACACGCGTGCGGTGTGGGTGTACCCTCTGAAGACTAAGGGGGAGGTGGCAGCGGCTGTTCTCAAGGAGTGGATGCCGAGAGCACAAAGGGAGAGCGGACACAAGGTGAAGGTGATCCGCACTGACAACGGGGGAGAGTTCATTGGCAATGAGTTTGAGGCGGTGCTGAAGAAGAAGGGCATTCAGCATCAGCTCACAGTGCCCTACAACCCTCAGCAGAACGGCGTGGCTGAGCAGTTCAACCGGACCCTACAGGAAGGTGCTCGCACTCTCCTTGGGCGTGCAGGGCTGTCGGATCCGTTGTGGGTAACTGCACTCAGGTAGGTCGCTCTTGCGAAGAACAGGGTGCTAGCCACTGTGGGGGACAATTAGTGGGTCCCCTACACCAAGTGGTATGGGAGTGCACCTGCAGTCAACATGCTGAGAGCCTACGGCTGCATGGTGATGTTTCGTGTGCCGAAGGAGAAGAGGGGAAAGCTGGAAGCTTCTGGAAGATGGGGTGTGCACTTGGGGCTTGCTAAGGATCATAAGGGCTGGTTGCTATGGGACTTGACCAGCCAGCAGCTGACTGTGTCGAGGGATGTGAAGTTCCTCGAGTCCTTGTACTACAAGGAGTGGAAGCAGCAGCAGCAGAAGCTTCCTACTACACCGCTGATCATTGAGGCCGATGAGGTGCAGCGGCCTTCGAGGCAAGTGCAGGTCACTGTCTCAGAGGAGGAGATCTCTGGGGTGACTGAGGATGGGGGAGAACCTGAGGTGGAGCAGCAGCAGCAGCAGCAGCAGCAGCAGCAGCAGCAGCAGCAGCAGCAGCAGCAGCAGCAGCAGCAGCAGCAGCAGCAGCAGCAGCAGCAGCAGCAGCAGCAGCAGCAGCAGCAGCAGCAGCCGCAGCAGCAGCAGCAAGGTGCTCCACAAAGTGCCGCACGTCCGGCTGACCGTCCTAGGAGGGATGTGCGCCCTCCTAACCGGCTGACCTATCCGAGCTTTGGCAAGCCAAAGGTGGTAAGGGCTGGGAGTCTGGTTGAGCAGTGTGATGAGGAAGAGATAGCGCACTGCTACTGGGCAGCCGTCCCTGAGCCCAAGACGCTAGCAGAGGCCTTGAGTGGGCCCGATGCTGAAAAGTGGAAGCAGAGTGTGAAGGAGGAGTATGATTCTCTGCTGGAGAATGAGACGTGGGAGCTGTGTGAGCTGCCTCCTGGGAAGAAGGCCATTTCTTCCAAGCTGATCTTCAGGCACAAGTATGGACCTGATGGGGAGCTGACCCGCTACAAGTCAAGGCTTGTGGCTAAGGGGTTTCAGCAGACTAAGGGAAAGGACTTTGACGAGCTCTATGCTCCTGTGGGGAAAGGGACAACACTGAGGGTGATGTTGGGAACGGCTGCAAACCGCGGATGGAAGATAAAGCAAATGGATATCACGACTGCGTTCCTTCCTCAATGGGATCATCCTGGAGGAGCTGTACATGCTGCAGCCTGAGGGGTTGGATGATGGGAGCGGCAGGGTGTGCAGGGTGAAGAAGGCCATTTATGGCCTGAACCAGGATCCTCGTGCATGGTACCACAAGCTAGAGGAGACACTGCTGGCTGGGGGGTTCAAGAAGAGTGAGTGCGACCACAGCTTGTTCCTGCTGCAAGAGAAGGAGCAGTTTCTCATGCTCCTGGTGTATGTGGACGACATCCCGCTCTTCTCTGAGTCATCTGCAATGATTGACTGTGTGGAGAAGATGTTGGAGATGCAGTTCAAGTGCTCGAAGATGGGAGATGTGAAGTACTACCTTGGGATGCATGTGGAGAGGGACCTCGACAAGGGAGTGTTGAGGCTCCACCAGAGGAAGTACTGTGAGGGGCTGGCTAAGAAGCATGGGCTACACGATGGAGGAAAGCCAGCAACCCCACTGCCTTCAGGGTTCACTGTGGAGCCCTGTGCTGATGAGGAGGTGGTGGGCGAGAGTGACAGGAAGTTGTTTCACTCCATGGTTGGGGCGCTCAACTATGCGGCCAACCACACGCGGCCTGACATTTCCTTTGCTACATCCAGGCTGGCAAGTGTGGTGTCACGTCCCAGTCATGAGCAGCTGGAAGCGGCCAAGAGGTTGGTCCGCTACGTGAGTGCAACGGCATCAGTAGCTTGGAATATAGTGCTGTGCGACAGAGGCTGCAGAGGGGTGCAGCTGATTTGAGCAAGGGGGAGATGCTCTTGACTTGCTACACCGACGCTAGCTTCAACTCTGTGAAGGCGGATGGCACCAGCATTGGAGGCTATGTGTGCCTGTTTGGAGGTGGTGCAGTGAGCTGGCGCAGCAAGAAGCAGAACGAGGTGGGGCTGTCCTCATGTGAGACTGAGTACATGGCCCTGCATCATGGGGCCAAGGAGGTGGTGTGGCTGAGGCGTTTGTTGAAAGAGATCGGAGTGTGCCAGAAGAAGCCGACTGTGATTTTCTATGACAACGAGTCGACGGTAAAGCTTGCAAAGAACGCTTGCCTTCATGGGCTGACAAAGCACATCAGGCCCAAGTGACACTGGATAAGGAGGCTCCTGGACAAGGAGGTGCGGCTGGAGATTGTGAAGACCCAGCAGCAGGCGGCTGACATTCTCACCAAGCGCCTGGCTGAACCTGAGCATTGGAAGGGGATGAAGCTTTCTAGGATGAGTGTGCATTGAGGGTGCATGCTTGAGTTATGGCATGTGGATGATGGTTGGCAGCCAGAGGGGGAGTTTGTTATGTGATGCTATCATTCGCATTCACGTCTGTCTGCCTCCCATCATATGTTCGTGCGTTGCATGCGTGGTGTGAGCGTGTGCAAGAATTTGTGTTCGGTGTGGTTTGGGATTTTATGAGTGTGTATGAATGTTATTTGGTTTGAGCAGGTACCTGAGATGATTGCTCTGCTCAAGAGCATTCCGGCGAACCAAAAATCGTCACGGTCGGAGCACGGATGAGAAAGTTACGAACGTTCGAAGTTCGTATGCCTTTCACATTTGATTGCGGCGACTATGGGAATTTGTGGAGTGACTCAATATGGGGTACAGACTTTTGGGGGTTGGGAAATTCGTCCCCATTACTGTAGATGTTTCCAAGTGGTTGGGAGAAGCCAAACCAGGTTGGCAAGTGTGGCCAAGTGGGTTGAGGTGGATGGCATGGGTTGGGAAAGTGACAAATGTCAAAGTTGGGGTGCCTATAGAGAAGGAAATTGTATGGTATGGGGTTTCCTTGGTTGGGGACTCCTTGGGGACCTTCCCTCTCGTCCTCCTCTTCCCTCCCACCTGGTTTCTAGCTACTCTAATCCTCTTTGTGGAACTTGTGAAATAATTGTTATCAAGTTAAGTTTCTATGTCTATCACATTGCACTCCGATACTTCTTCGTCAAAGACGAGATTGACCAGGGGAAGGTTGACCTTGCATATTGCCCCACTACTGAGATGGCAGCCGACTTCCTCACCAAGCGACTGCCACGTCAGCAGTACAAACACTGCTCTGACCTCACCGGAGTAGTCAAGGGAGTCAGCCCTCTGCGGGCCTAGGAATGAAGGGGAGTGTTACGATATGAAATTCAATGAGAAGGCATTCCTGTACTGTATTCTTCCGGATAAAACACCCCCCTCGTAATTGTACACCCCCGGGTAGCTTGTGCGGGGTGGGTGTTATTATCGACCTCGTTTCTACTATACCCCCCTTTTGGGGTGATTTTCCATAACACCCCCTTTTCATATAGATTTCTTATTATAATAGCTGATAACGAGTACGTGCAAGTACGGGAGGATGCAAAAATCCCTCCCTCTACGAAATTACACGAAACTTTCAAATGATATCTGCCGAGATTCCCTCCCTTCCACAATTTCGCTGTCGCCACGCTGGCGAATCTTTCGTTGTCAAGTGGCCAGAGAGGTGCTACATGCCATCTTCAAGGTGGTCAAGATATCACTTGCCGAAACTCGCGTTCCCGCCTCTGAGTGTGTTGGTAAACCAACTTCGAAAACACCCAAGCTGTCCATTTATCAAAATCCTTATATTAAAAAATGTCATATGAATAGACCCGGGTATTATGTGGGATTTTCCTTTAAGGAGACCCCCCCCAATTTTTCCCAGTGGTTATCATAACACCCTAGGGTGCTTTATCCAGGAGAATACGGTATGCTGCAGGAGCCGGTTCTACCGAGTACGAAGTCGAGGCGTCAGAAGAGTCGAAGCGACGCCAGCAACCGTCAGATCAAGACCGATGCAGGCAGTTAACATTTGAAGTGGAAAGAGCGGGAACATGTTCAGAAGAGGTTCCCGCACCGCACGGTTTGAACTTCACTGTAATAAGGGAATGTACCCCTTAAAGTACATGGCTAGCCTAGGACTTTTCGTATTCCCTGTACTGTTTGGTCCTATATAAACTCGATGTATGCATGTCTTTTATCATCTCAGTCATTTTACATTCACTCTCATCTGAGGTCAACACTTCCGTTGCAATATCACATGCGAACAACCCTTAGTCGATCCCTGGCTAAGTCCCATTTAGGATTGTAACAAATAGAAACTTAACCGCTTTGTGTCCAATTGTAACTGTAACTGCTATTGCGGTTTGATTCAGCGACGACTCGGGTAACTGCTCAATAGCGAGTCAGTAATTTGTCCTTGCTGTCATGCTGTTTCATCGAGTCAAAGGTCGCTGACCTTTGACCTTCGCTTCAACTGCTTACTGTTGTCCTTTTTGTCAATAGCTTCGCTGTAGCTCAGTTGTCTCGGTGTTGCTTCGTTGTGGATCTGCTTCGTTCTTGTTGTAGTGCTCGATATGCCAGAAGCACAAATTATATGTTTCCAACAGTATTCTCAACAATATATACACCGTACCGCAGGTGTGGTGTGTTCATCTCTGTATATGTGTATGCTCCAATTTTAAGGCGCGCCAATATCTGGGGGATCACAGTAGGTGCTCCCCATAACATTGGTGGTAGCCGTTCACCTTTAGTATTCACGAGTGAGTCTGGTGTGCAGTAGGGGGCCGGCGTATGAGGACGTTGCAACTCTCCCTGCCTTGGAACGCGCGGAGCAGTGTCTATACCCGCAGATGTGGAGCATGTGTTATGGGCATGTATGGGGCACGAGTGGGTCTAGCGTGCAGCCGAGGGCTGAGCTATGAGGTTGCTGCGTGCTGTCCCTGCCTTGCAACTCGCGCAGCAGTGTGTGAATAGCCGCAGTACATGTGAGGCATGTGTGCCATGAGCATCTGGGCACGAGTGGGTCTAATGTGCAGCACTAGTGGGTCTAATGTGCAGCACTAGTGGGTCTAATGTGCAGCACTAGTGGGTCTAATGTGCAGCACTAGTGGGTCTAATGTGCAGCACTAGTGGGTCTAATGTGCAGCACTAGTGGGTCCAAGTGGGCCTAGGGCTGGGCTAGGAGGCTGCTGCATCTGCCCCTTGGAAGAGCTCGCGGAGCAGCACCCTAAGGTCTTCATCCGTGTAGCGAATGTGCTTGCTGGCCTCCTCGCTGCTGCTGCAGCCTAAGCGCCTGCCACTATCCAACACCGGGCTGATGGGGGAAGAGGGGAGGGGATGGGAGAGACAAGAGAAAAGGCGTGAGATGAAGGGAATGTGCTTGCTGGCCTCCTCGCTGCTGCGGCCAAAGCGACTGCCACTCTCCAACACCGGGCTGATGGGGGGTGATGGGAGAGGGGATGAGGAGGGGGAGAGACAAGAGAGAAGATGTGACAGCAGCAGCACATGAAGGCGGGCAGGAGCACATGCAGGCGGGCAGCAGCACATGCAGGTGCACACAGAGGAGCACCCAGCAACTCACGTGCAGCACAGCAGCACCTCACCCTCCAGCCAACTCACATGTACCACTGCAGAAAGGAGCGATACATGGGCAGAAGATCTTTGGAAATGTTTTGCTGCAGGGCGGTTCGCAGCTGGGGGCTTGAGATCGTCCACATGCACTCATGTGCTGCAGAAAGGAGCGGCAGGCAACTCACGTGTAGCACTGCAGAAAGGAGCGGCAGGCAACTCACGTGTAGCACTGCAGAAAGGAGCGGCAGGCAACTCACGTGTAGCACTGCAGAAAGGAGCGGCAGGCAACTCACGTGTAGCACTGCAGAAAGGAGCGGTACTTGGGCAGCAGATCCTTGGAGATCTTCTGCTGCAGGGCCGTTCGCAGCTCGGGGACCGGAATCTTCCACATGCGCTGCGTGCGATGCAGCTCCTCAAACGTGGCGTTGAACACACGCAACCTGTGAAAGGGAGGCGGGAAGGGGGAGAGGAAAAGGGGAGAGGAAGAGGGGAGAGGAAGAGGGGAGAGGAAGAGGGGAGAGGAAGAGGGGAGAGACAGGGTGAGCACAAAATCTTCCACGTGCACTCCTCAAACGTGGCGCTCAACACACGGAACCTGCGATCGGGAAGGGGGAGGGCTACAGGAGAAGGGAGAGAGAGATGGGTTGAATTCCAGAGAGGGGGGGGGGGAGGGGGGATCAGGGGGAATTCCAGCCACATTTTCCACGCCGATATTTGAGGCGCCTAAAAAAAATTTCCAGCCCCATTTCCTATGCCGATCCGCCGGGAGTGAGTAAATGAGGCATAAGTGGTGTGGATCACATTCCTGTAGCCCCATTTCCTGTAGTGCACTTTTGAGGCGCCTCAACAGTAGATTCCTGTACATTCCTTTTGTTGTTATACAAGGGTTAGCTATGCCTGTACAAGGGTCATGCTTACTGATTGTTAAGGCTTTGATACTGATCAAGGCTTGACCTGATGTTCTTGCGAACAGTAAGTGCCGCCCAACCGCACTCCTGCAAGCAACCCCATTCCCCAACCCAAACCCTGCCTTCACTTCTCCTCAACCCACCTCCCGATTTCCCGCCCCTAGAACACTCCCCTCGCACCTCTCTTTGACAGCGTTGCGGCGTGCAATGCTCTCGAGGCCATCGTCTAACAGCCCTGCCGGCTTCAGTAGCGAATGAATCTGGCAGGCGTAAGGGACGTAGTGGAAGACGCAGGTGCTGCTTCTGACCAGAAGTGTGCAGCGCATGCTAGTGAGGGAAATTTTTGAGGCGCCTCAAAAACGACCTCAATGCAAGTGAGAGGGAAAGTTGTGTGCAAAACAAGACTGTGTTGATTGAAGCTCAAGGAATCTGGTGGGCATTAATAGGGAGCGGAAAGCTGTGAAAACAGGATTGTATTGATTGAAGCTCAAGAAAACTAGCGGGCGTAGAGGAGGGAGTGGAAGAGGCAGGTGCTGCTCTTAATGATACACGTGCAATGCCTGTGAGATGGGACGTTGAGACGCCACAAAGGAGCTGCCCTTTACCAAAAGTATATATGAAGTGTCCGTAAGAAGGAGAGGTGTGAAAGAACGATGGGATTGATCGAAGCTCGAATGAGCTGAGGATTACCTAGGTGAAGTCATGGTTGATTTAGGTTCGGTAAACTCCACCGACCCCCACACCTCCCCCCCCTTTCCCCGCCTCCTCTGTCCCCACTAAACCTCGCCTCCTCACCTTGCTCCACGACACCCGAAGGTGCATCACTCCATGCTGCTGCACAATGCGCCACTGGACGTTGCTGCACAATGCGCCACTGGACGTTGCTGCAGTACATTATTGCATAACGATCTCACACTCCCCTACTCCCTCCCCCATCCTCCTCCCGCCACACTCCTCGCTTCCTCACCTTGCTCCACGGCATCCCAAGGCACGCCACCCCATGCTGCTCCACAATGCGACGTTACATGCTGCTCCACAATGCGACGTTACATGCTGCTCCACAATGCGACGTTACATGCTGCTCCACAATGCGACGTTACATGCTGCTCCACAATGCGACGTTACATGCTGCTCCACAATGCGACGTTACATGCTGCTCCACAATGCGACGTTGCATGCTGCTCCACAATGCGACGTTGCATGCTGCTCCACAATGCGACGTTACATGCTGCTCCACAATGCGACGTTACATGCTGCTTCACAATGCGACGTTGCATGCTGCTCCACAATGCGACGTTACATGCTGCTCCACAATGCGACGTTGCATGCTGCTCCACAATGCGACGTTACATGCTGCTCCACAATGCGACGTTACATGCTGCTTCACAATGCGACGTTACATGCTGCTGCACAATGCGACGTTACATGCTGCTCCACAATGCGACGTTGCATGCTGCTCCACAATGCGACGTTACATGCTGCTGCACCACACCATTGCATCAGCATCCCACCCTCCCATGCCTAACTTTGCTCCACGGCATCCCAAGGTACGCCCCCCTATGCTGCTCCATGAATCGGTGCTGCTCCATGATTTGAGGCGCCTCAAAACTAGACTTGCTCCACGACATCCCAAGGTACGCCACCCTGCGCTGCTCCATGAATCGGTGCTGCGTTTGCTCTCCACTCCACCCTCACGTCCCCCTCCAACACTCCAGAATCGATCTCACACTCCCCTACTCCCTCCCCCATCCTCCTTCCCGCCACACTCCTCGCCTCCTCACCTTGCTCCACGACACCCGAAGGTACGCCACTGCGTGTTGCTGCACGATGCAACGTTGTTGGTCGACCCAGTCCTTCCCCACCACCTCGTTCAGCTCGAACCTGGAAGGCAATGGAAAAGAAGTGGTAGGAGAGAGAAGACATAGCAAGGTTTCTTCCACTCCTTCCCCACCACCTCCTTCCCCACAACCTCCTTCCCCACCACCTCCTTCCCCACAACCTCCTTCCCCACCACCTCTTTCAACTTGCCCTTGGAGGAAAGTCAAACTACTCACGACGAAGTAGGTAAAGCAAACAATAAAAATAAAACGAAGAAATGGAAATGAAAGGGACATTAATCTGAAGGGCCTCCCCCACCCCACCAACCTCTCCCCTTCCCCACCAACCTCTCCCCTTCCCCACCAACCTCTCCCCTTCCCCACCAACCTCTCCCCTTCCCCACCAACCTCTCCCCTTCCCCACCAACCTCTCCCCTTCCCCACCAACCTCTCCCCTTCCCCACCAACCTCTCCCCTTCCCCACCAACCTCTCCCCTTCCCCACCAACCTCTCCCCTTCCCCACCAACCTCTCCCCTTCCCCACCAACCTCTCCCCTTCCCCACCAACCTCTCCCCTTCCCCACCAACCTCTCCCCTTCCCCACCAACCTCTCGTTTCCCCCCATTACATAACGATGCGCTCCACGATGTAGTGAACGTTGTTCATGAGCAAGACATGCCCTGGATCCGTACTTGAGAATTCTCAAAAGTGGATCCGTACTGCCAAACAGCTGGTGAACAAGGCCTTTCCTTGACCAAATCCTTCAGCTCTTCCCCTTTCTCTAACCACACCCCCACACCCCCTCTCCAGTTTCCCTCCCTTACTTCACAGCACGTTCCACAATGCAGTGAACGTTGTGCCTGAGCAAGAACTGTCCGAGAGCCGCATCGTCCTACTGCCTGCCTGCTTCCCGCACTTTGAGCGCTGCACCACTGTACACCTTGAACTAGGAACAAGGATATCCCACCACACCACACCGCCCCAAACCCCTCCTTCACCCCCGATACTTTACCACATGCTCCACGACGTAGCAAACACTGTTCACGAGGAAGAACCATCCGAGAGCCGCATCGTCGTATGCTTACTTGCACGGTGAACAAGGCCTACAATTAATTCCTCCACACCACCCCACCCCATCCCCCCGTCCATTTCCCCTCTCTTACTTGATGACGCGCTCCACGATGTAGTGAGCGTTGTTCACGAGGAAGAACTGCCCGAGAGTCCATGCTGCGTGGTACATACATATGGCATGCACTGTAAACGACGCACCACAGAACGCCTTGCTGAATGAACAGGGCTAATTCTCACTTGATGACGCGCTCCACGATGTAGTGCACGTTGTTCATGAGGAAGAAGTGCCCCAGCGCCGCGTCGTCGTACTGCGTGCTCTTCCTCTCCACCAGGTTGGCGTAAAGCGCTGCAAATACCCGCTTGGTGGTTTCAATGAAGATGCTGCTGCCACTGCCAAAGAGTGACTGCATGGTGGGCTGGAAGCTGATGGGGAGGAAAGAGTAAAGGGGACAAGTAGAGGGGGGAGGGACAAGTTAAGGAGACCAAAAAGAGGGGAGGTTCAGGTAGATGCAGACTGTTGTCATGCCTCGCTGAAAATGCTGCTGCCACCGCCAAAGAGCAGCTGCATGGTGGGCTGGAAGCTGATGGGGAGCGACGAATAAAAGGGGACAAATAAAGGGAGGGACAAATAAGACATGAAAATGCAGACAGTTGCCTTGTTGAAGGGTTCTGCTGTCACTGCCGAAGAGTTCCTCCCGCCCATGGCATGCTATGGCGAAGTTATGACCTCCCCTCCCACACACAGTCAACCACGCACGGCCAACGACGCACGGCCAACGACGCACGGCCAACCACGCACGGCCAACCACGCACGGCAAACGACGCACAGTCAGCGACGCATCACCCAGCCCAACCACTCACAATCCACAACGCACCCTTCATTGAGAAGGTTGAAGTTGTTCACCACGTGGCTGGTGAGTGCATGCCTGGTGCCATCGCGCGGCATGCTGTAGTTCTCATCGCTCGCCACGGCGAGCTCAAAGTTGTTAAACGCCTCCTTGGCCGCCGTTGCTAGTCGCTGCAGCAGCTGCTGCGCGCTGCCCCGGATGGGCTCACATGCCGGGCCCGCAAACACCACCTCCACCTGTGGCAGCTCAGATTGGGTTAGAGGAGTGCGGGAGAAGGGAAGGGAAGGGAAGATAAAGGGAGGGGAGAGGTGGCACACAGGGTGACGGAGGGGGGTCATGGACTTACACACACACCGGGCTTCCAAACACCACCTCCACCTGCAGCAGTCCTATTTGGGTGCCGATATGAGCGCTGTGTTCCCTGCCTGCAGTTGAGGGGCGGGATAAGAAGGGTGAGAAGAAGGTGGTGACAAGAAGGTGGTGAGAAGAAGGTGGTGAGAAGAAGGTGGTGAAAAACCCAATGAAATGCAGCCGATAATGCGGGTGCCTCCAAAATTCGGGTCAAGTTGCAACAGAATTGAATCTCTATACTCAACACAACAGTGTTGCGCCACCAACACTCCAGAATGTATGCAGACAGCCCCCTAATTTGTATTTCGAGACATAATCTTGATGCGTACGTGACGTGACTGCAAATGTATGTAAATATCAAACGGCATGCATGTAAGTGTAAAAACCTAAGTCAGTACTTTCGCAAGAAGGGTGAAGATGAGAGTGATTTTATGGATCCTACATGCGGTAGCACCTCAACTATCATATAATGCCACATTTGACCTTCCACGTCAGGTCACATTTCACTTCCCACATGAGTTGTCCCTCCTTTTGTCACTTTTTGTGCTCTCATCTCAACTAAATAACCACATGCCTTCGCGTCTCATCTCACCTGCGGCATGAGCTTTCCCATCGTCTCATACGTAACCATCAACTTCCCACTCAAACACGTCCGTCCATCAGACCCTTAGCCTTATTCGCCAGCTTCTTGCTGCAAGCCACACTTCATCTCACCTGCGGCATGAGCTTCCCCATCGTCTCATACATAGTACATACCCAGCAGCTCCTTAGCCTTATTAACCGGCTACTTTTAGTGTGCCACACCACATCCTACCTGCGGAATGGTCTTCCACATCGTCTCATACATCTCCACCAGCTCTTCAGCCTTGTTCACCGGCTTCTTGCTGCACGCCACACCGCGTCTCACCTGCAAAATCGCCGCTTCCCCATCGGCTCCTTGCTGCAAGCAAGCCACACCTCGTCTCATCTCACCTGTGCCATGAGCTTCAACATCGTCTCATACATCGCCAGCAGCTTCTCATCTCAAACATATCCATCGGATCAGATCTTTAGCCTTGTTCACCGGATTCCTTCCTTTAATATGCCAGCAGCCAACACCTCTTCCAAGCCGAAAAGCATGCCTTGGCGCCACATCTCACCTGAGGCATAAGCTTCCCCATTGTCTCATACATAACCAGCAGCGTTCTAAACATGTCCATCAGATCCTTGGCCTTGTTCACCGGCTTCTTTTGGCCCGCCACGGCCTCTCCGAACCCAAACAGCATGCCCAGCGTGGGCCCCGCCAGGTCCGCCAACGCCTTGCCCGTGTGCGGCTCCAACCCTGCCAGCACCGTTTCACAGAGCGCCCTCTCCGCTTTAAACACCACATCCACCTGCGTGCAGTGAGGTGCAATGGGATACAAGGAGCAAGTGGGTGGGTTTTGAGGGGTGGAGTGTTTCGCACAGCTCCCTCTCCGCCATGAACACCACATGCATCTGGGGGTGAAAGGGAGGGGGGGGTTAAAAAACGGAGACGCAGTGAAGGGGGATGGGGTTGGTGGGGCGTCAGAGGGGGCATAGTGTTGGTAGGGTGTTTGTGTGCGGCTCCAACCCGCCAGCACCACTTCACACAGCTCCCTCTCCGCTCTGAACACCGCGGGTCCGTGTTCATGAAGAAGGGCAGCAGTAGGGAGGAGCTGACAATACTAAGCTTCAATTGTTTAATTAAGGAACAAGGCACTTAATTAAGGCCTTAAGTACAAAGCTAGGACAAGGATAGGACGGCAATCCAAACATATCTCCAATGACGAGTTGACAGTTTTGTTAGATTACGGGGGAATCCCAACCAGCTAGGGTTGGGATAACACGTCTACACCCAACCTACAAATAACCTACACGATATAAAATAGAGTACACAAATGTGTTGACAGCATATTTCTAACAGGAATGTTCTAGCAAAAGACAGATAGTCTCTTATGTCAGAACTGAGGTTGAACTGATACACTAGTAATGAGCTCAAAGCTCTTTAGGTATAACTGAAATGAGCAAGGTATGGATGGGGAGGGAATTGAGAGAAATCCCTAGGGGATCGGGGGCAATCCCAAGGCAATCTCCATTTGGTGGGTTGGAGTTGGAGATTGCTTGGCGATCACATTTGGGTTTTGTTGGGATGTAGTAGGTGTACACCCAACCAACACAAAGTGCAAATTACACTAACCTAGAATATAAAAAAGTTCAAACACAAGAGTTGAGATTGAGGTCTAACACTAATATCTTAGTGAATACTCTAACCCACGCAACGCCCTCTCCGCCCTGAACACTGCGTGCACATGAGTAGGGGTGGGGAAGAGTCAAAGAGAGGGTGGGTGGGGTGTCAGGGGTTGGTTAGGAGTTGTAGGAAGACCACAATCCCGGCTCCGATGTAGAGTATTTTTGAGAATTCTCAAAAATACTCTACATCGCCAAGGAGTTGTAGGAAGAGCACAATCCCCTCCCCGCTCCGCCATCAAAAACGCGTGCACCTGGTGGGAGGGAAAGGAGGGGAGGGGGAGGGCGGGGAGGGGAGGGGGAGGGACGGGGGTGCACTGCCTTGAACACCACGTGTGCTTGCATAAGGTTGGGATGGGGAAGGCGAGGTAGGGAGTTGTCAGGAATCCAGTGTTGATGGGAAACCCGCTCGGGCCATTGCCACGTGCACCTGCTCCCACTCTGCCACTGAAGGCCTCTGTCACAAACACCACATGCACTTGGGGATGGTGGAGATTAGGGGATGGGGAGGTGGGTGGGATGGGATGTCAAGGGGTATGATGGTGATGTTAAGGTGCACCATGTGGCGATTCCGGGTGTGCAGGAGCATCGGATTCTTTTCACATGAGCCCACCCCAGCACACTCTTGAAGTTGAGATGTGTTTTCAGATCCTACCAAAGTCCCGCGGGTCATATCCACTCATGGCCGATTGGAATGGAGTGAAAAAGCACTTGGTCTCCTCTGACTGACTCACCGCCATGCTGATCTGCTCCTTCCACCCGCCAACGCGCGTCTCCAGATCCGTCCAATCCATGCCGTCCATCTGCTCGCGCGTGAGCTCCTCCATGCAGCCCATGCGCTTAAACCCCGCCTTCACTGCGGCGCCGCGCACATTGCTGCTTGGAGGGGAGAGTGAGTGAGTGAGTGAGTGAGTGAGTGAGTGAGTGAGTGGGTGAGTGAGTGAGTGAGAGACGTGCATCTTGCTGCTTGGAGGGGAGAGTGTAAGTGAGTGAGTGGGTGAGTGCATGCATGCCATGCACTTACTCTCTGCTCATTGTGCTTATCTGCTCGCGAGTTAGCTCCTCCATCCTAATGTGCCTCAACCCCGCCTGCACCATTGTGCTGCGCACCTTGGTGCTTGAAGGGGAAAGTGTGAGTGAGTGAGTGAGTGAGTGAGTGAGTGAGTGAGTGAGTGATTTAGTGAGTGAGTGGCACGCATCTTGCTGCTTGGGGAAGGGCGTGTGGAAGTGAACCAAGTACCTACGAGGGCGTGTGGAAGTGAACCAAGTACCTACGAGGGCGTGTGGAAGTGAACCAAGTACCTACGAGGGCGTGTGGAAGTGAGCCAAGTACCTACGAGGGCGTGTGGAAGTGAACCATGTACCTATGAGGGCGTGTGGAAGTGAACCATGTATCTACGAGGGCGTGTGGAAGTGAACCAAGTACCTACGAGGGCGTGTGGAAGTGAACCATGTACCTACGACAGATAAGCGTCTCGTCCAACATTTCCCTCTCTCCGATGCGCCCAGGCAAGCAATCACTTCACTCCAAACGTCAGCCACTCTCCATCCATTCCAGTGCTGCTCTCCACTCTCCATCCATTCCAGTGCTGCTCTCCACTCTCCATCCATTCCAGTGCTGCTCTCCACTCTCCATCCATTCCAGTGCTGCTCTCCACTCTCCATCCATTCCAGTGCTGCTCTCCACTCTCCATCCATTCCAGTGCTGCTCTCCACTCTCCATCCATTCCAGTGCTGCTCTCCACTCTCCATCCATTCCAGTGCTGCTCTCCACTCTCCATCCATTCCAGTGCTGCTCTCCACTCTCCATCCATTCCAGTGCTGCTCTCCACTCTCCATCCATTCCAGTGCTGCTCTCCACTCTCCATCCATTCCAGTGCTGCTCTCCACTCTCCATCCATTCCAGTGCTGCTCTCCACTCTCCATCCATTCCAGTGCTGCTCTCCACTCTCCATCCATTCCAGTCCTGCTCTCCACTCTCCATCCATTCCAGTGCTGCTCTCCACTCTCCATCCATTCCAGTGCTGCTCTCCACTCTCCATCCATTCCAGTGCTGCTCTCCACTCTCCATCCATCCAGTGCTGCTCTCCACTATCCATCCATTCCAGTGCTGCTCTCCACTATCCATCCATTCCAGTGCTGCTCTCCACTCTCCATCCATTCCAGTGCTGCTCTCCACTCTCCATCCATTCCAGTGCTGCTCTCCACTCTCCATCCATTCCAGTGCTGCTCTCCACTCTCCATCCATTCCAGTGCTGCTCTCCACTCTCCATCCATTCCAGTGCTGCTCTCCACTCTCCATCCATCCAGTGCTGCTCTCCACTCTCCATCCATTCCAGTGCTGCTCTCCACTCTCCATCCATTCCAGTGCTGCTCTCCACTCTCCATCCATTCCAGTGCTGCTCTCCACTCTCCATCCATCCAGTGCTGCTCTCCACTCTCCATCCATTCCAGTGCTGCTCTCCACTCTCCATCCATTCCAGTGCTGCTCTCCACTCTCCATCCATTCCAGTGCTGCTCTCCACTCTCCATCCATCCAGTGCTGCTCTCCACTCTCCATCCATTCCAGTGCTGCTCTCCACTCTCCATCCATTCCAGTGCTGCTCTCCACTCTCCATCTATCCAGTGCTGCTCTCCACTCTCCATCCATTCCAGTGCTGCTCTCCACTCTCCATCCATTCCAGTGCTGCTCTCCACTCTCCATCCATTCCAGTGCTGCTCTCCACTCTCCATCCATTCCAGTGCTGCTCTCCACTCTCCATCCATTCCAGTGCTGCTCTCCACTCTCCATCCATTCCAGTGCTGCTCTCCACTCTCCATCCATCCAGTGCTGCTCTCCACTCTCCATCCATTCCAGTGCTGCTCTCCACTCTCCATCCATTCCAGTGCTGCTCTCCACTCTCCATCCATTCCAGTGCTGCTCTCCACTCTCCATCCATTCCAGTGCTGCTCTCCACTCTCCATCCATTCCAGTGCTGCTCTCCACTCTCCATCCATTCCAGTGCTGCTCTCCACTCTCCATCCATTCCAGTGCTGCTCTCCACTCTCCATCCATTCCAGTGCTGCTCTCCACTCTCCATCCATTCCAGTGCTGCTCTCCACTCTCCATCCATTCCAGTGCTGCTCTCCACTCTCCATCCATTCCAGTGCTGTTCTCCACTCTCCATCCATTCCAGTGCTGCTCTCCACTCTCCATCCATTCCAGTCCTGCTCTCCACTCTCCATCCATTCCAGTGCTGCTCTCCACTCTCCATCCATTCCAGTGCTGCTCTCCACTCTCCATCCATTCCAGTGCTGCTCTCCACTCTCCATCCATTCCAGTGCTGCTCTCCACTCTCCATCCATTCCAGTGCTGCTCTCCACTCTCCATCCATTCCAGTGCTGCTCTCCACTCTCCATCCATTCCAGTGCTGCTCTCCACTCTCCATCCATTCCAGTGCTGCTCTCCACTCTCCATCCATTCCAGTGCTGCTCTCCACTCTCCATCCATTCCAGTGCTGCTCCCCACTCTACTAACCCCTCACGCAGCAGTGGAGTCCGGCTACATTACACTCCACTCACGCATGTGTACATCTTGAGGCAGTTGGCAGCCCGCCTAATCCGAATGAGCGCCTCTGCCAGCCGTCAGATACATCATGCATGTGGTGTGGGCGATCAAGCAACACTGCACTGCATGCAAGCAAGCATCCACTCACGAGTATATCTTCAGGCATTTATCGGCCTGGCCGATCCGGATGAGCGCCTCTGCCAGCTGGCGGATGCGGTCGCCCGCCTTTCTATTCGCCAGCAGCACCGGCAGCCCATTGCCCTCCGTCTCCGCCTGCTTGATCGCTTCTGCTAGCTTTGCCGGGTGTGCAGCCTTGCTGTTTGGGGGGGGGAGAGGAGGAGGGGGATATGGAGTGCATGAGGGCTGATTAGAAGAGGAAGGAGGGTTTGTCTCCCGCCCACACGCCTCCTCCTCCTCCTCCTCCTCCTCCTCCTCCTCCTCCTCCTCCTCCTCCTCCTCCTCCTCCTCCTCCTCCTCCTCCTCCTCCTCCTCCTCCTCCTCCTCGTCCTGCTTCCCACCGGCTTGGCTGATTTTGGCTACTTCCTGGGTGGGGGAGAGGAGGGGGGGGGGAGAGGAGGGGGTGGGGGAGAGGAGGGGGTGGGGGAGAGGACGGGGTGGGGGGAGAGGACGGGGTGGGGGGAGAGGAGGGGTTGGGGGGAGAGGAGGGAGTGGGGGAGAGGAGGGGGTGGGGGAGAGGAGGGGGTGGGGGAGAGGAGGGGGTGGGGGAGAGTAGGGGGTGGAGGGAGAGGAGGGGGTGGGGGGAGAGGAGGGGGTGGGGGGAGAGGAGGGGTGGGGGGAGAGGAGGGGTGGGGGAGAAGAACGGCATTGGATTGGATGGGGAGTGAAGCGGGACTATAGGGTGAAGATGCAAGAACCAGGCTTGTTTACTTCAGCCGCCTCGAAAAACTGGATGGGGAGTTGGAGAATAGAATGAAGATGCAGACTCGGGTCAGGTGGTGGCAGGACGGAGGAAGTTTTTTTAGAATTCTCAAAAACACCCTTCAGGACGGAGGAAAATTGAAAGAAAAAATAACCAACCTCGCTTTCCCCCTTTCCTCCCCTTTCCTGCAATCCTCCCCTCCCCCTCCCTTCCACGCCTCCCCATTCCTCCTCTCTCTTCCCCCTCACTCACCGCAGCAGTAACCGTCTCTTCCTCTTCCTTGCTCCTCACACCTCTCCCAAACATTCCATTCCCTTCCCCTTTTCACTCACGAGACGGTAACTGCTGCAGCTGCAGAAGTTCTCCCAAACATTCCATTCCCCTTTTCACTCACGTGAACTGCTGCAGGTGTCAGAATCCTAAGGTTATTGCCTCAGGATGTCAGACAGAAGGTGTAGCGGGGTTAAGCACAAAGGGGGGGTTTTTGTACCGTACTGTACATTTGTAAATAGTGAAGGACTCTGCAGCGGGGAAGGAAGTGGCGTGCGGTAAGGGGGGGGGTCGGCCGAGTGGGTGGCAGTGGGTGGTTCTACAAAGGGTGGATGGCGGGCCGGGATGATGAGAGGTGTGCTGGCAGGGTTGGCAGCGAGATGACGTGGTATGGTATGAGATTGAGGGTGGGGTATGGTGTGCATGGGGGTGTGCTCGTTTGTTCTCGCAGACACCGAGTCCAAGGTCAGCTGGAAGTCACTGTAGCCAGCTGGGAGGCAGGCTGTGTGGCAGCATGGATGGCAGCCGGGCTGATCCCGCAACAAATCTGTTGTTAGGCTAGCCTTGCTAGGGTTGTTAGGGAAGCATAAGCATGGGCCTTGGGCCATGGGACTGCTACTGTGCGTTTGTTTTCGTGAATTTACTGCAACATTCCTTGTGACACGCAGTTCTAACACGGAGCCATAACCACAGTCAAGATGAGTAGTTAGGAGGCCCGATAGACAAACGCACAGTCTATGCGGTTACGATCTGGAAAGGAGCTGGAGCCGGTGACGGTGAAGCGGAACGAGCGCACGGAGATGGCGAACGAAGAAGGAAATAATCGACCGACGGATCTCTCTCAGGAGACCGGAAGGACGGAAGGCCGAAACGGGCCAAGTGATGGTGCGAGCGGGCCGCAAGGCGGCACTCATGCGAATGGCGGGGATGGCGGGACGAACGCATTCGACGAGCAGAGGGAACGCCTGCGCAGCCAGCAGCTGGGGCGTCCACAGCCGGGAGGACCGGGCGCGTATCAGCGGAGCGCCTCGTGGCAAGGGACGGAGGATGAGGGAGCGATGCTGCGGTGGAAGTACACGCAGCTGCCCAAAATAGAGGTGCCGGAAAGGTTCTCGGGAGATGCGAGGCGGGGGCCGAGCCTGAAGAACTATGTCATGCAGCTCGAAAACTTGCAGGCGCGTTGGGCGAAAGACCGGTTGGATCCGGAGGAGTTCTTCAGGGGGTTGGCGAATACCCTGGCAGGAGAGGCGGAGACTTATTACCGAATCTCCAGGAGGGAACTACTAGAATGGGCGGCAGGGCGGCCGCCAGGCGAACGAGATCCGACGACGCGTTTCCTGGCGATGCTTCGTGAGCAATTTCCTCTGCAGACAGCGGAGAGGGTAGTGGACTTCCGGGGATTCCGACGCAGGGAAGGGGAATCGCTGCTGGCTTACTACGGAAGGCTCGTGGAACTGGCCGAGGACATGAACTGCACAGACCAAGGGAGGCTGATCGGGAAGTTCGTGAACGGATTGAGCCAGCCGCTGCGTCAGGATGTAGAAGTGCGAGTATTCGAGATGGGGCCCGAGGCCACGCTGAAGGAAGCCTATGAGATCGTGAAGCGCGTCGAAACCGGGCGGCGGCTGTACGAGGTCGAGCGAACGGCAGACAGAGGACCGGAAAGAAGGCGCCCAGCGTGGGCAGCAACGGCGGCCTACCAGGAAGCGGAAGAGAGGGTGCGGGATGAGCCTCGGCGCTGCCACAACTGCGGAATGACAGGGCATCTGAGACGAGATTGTCGCAATCCTGCAGCCTGCTCGCTCTGCGGAAGCCGGGAACATATGCGGAGGGAGTGCCCCAGTGCGCCAAGCTGCGCTAGGTGTAACAGGAAGGGGCACCGTGAAGCAGACTGCTATGCGGCAAGAAGGGAGCGGCGAGGCGTGGAAGGAGGTGAGGATAAGCAAGCCACTATCGCGAGGCTGCGGGCACAGCTGGCGGAGCTGGAGGCCGCTGAGCCGAAGGAACCGGCCATGGTTGCGCAGGAGGAAGCCGATGCAGAGGATCCAGAGTTCATGCTCATGGCTCAGCCGGCGCGTGACCGTGAGGAGCTTGGCCTGAGAAGGACCGCCCGAAGGCAGAGCTTTCCCGAAGACGAGAGGCGGGAGGATGGGCCGAGGCGACGGGCAAGCGACAGGCCGGAGACCCCAGGAGCAGCATTCCGGCACCCACGGGAGAGGATGGCGAGCCAGGCCACGGTACTGACCATAGCAGAGGGAGCAGTGACAATCGGGGGATTCACGGCACCAAGAGCCATAGTTGACACGGGAGCGGCCCATGTCCTAATCGGCAAGCGCCTGGCAGAGAAGCTGCAGCTGCACAAGCCAGGACGGCTGATCGCAGAAGGTTACCTGCTGATGACGGCCGAGGGAGGGGAGGCGAAATGGATGCCTAAGACTCGGCAATCCATGTCGCTACTGCTAAACCCTGGAACCCCGGAAGAGTGCGCACTCCGAGTGGACTGCGGGGTGTCGGAGTCGGAGGATTTCGACCTGCTCATCGGCGTGGAATATTTGTTCGGGATCGGTGCCACCATCTGCATGTGGGAAGAGAAAGTGCAGTATCGGATATGCTACTGGGAGGACGACGGACCGATCGGGACGCTGCCGGTGCGTTTTGTGCGCAGGGAGCCAAGAGAGGCATATCAGTGCACAGAGGCAGAAGTGCGGCAGGAGTTGGGTATACCTACCTGGCAGCAGATTGAGCGGTTGCTGGCACCAGATCCGGGGGAAGCGGGAGGAGAGACAGACCTCAAGGCGCTCTGTACCAACACGAAGCGACTGATGGGGCCGACAGTAGTGCTGGACCTCTTTGGGGGCATAGGGACGGGGCTGGCGGCGGTGCTGAAGTCCGGCATAAGCGTGGAGAAGTGGATACTGGTCGAAAGTGACATGGAAGCGGCAAAGATGGCGGTTTGTCATGCGAGCAAGCTGCACGAACGCTACCCACATCAATTCTGCTCGGGTACCCTGGATCGGAGCCTCCGGTGTGGACACTGCGACATACGCGCCGTAGACGAACAGCAGCTGCGACGGTGGGGAAGGATAGACCTAGTGATCGCGGGGTGGGAGTGCCAGGGCTACTCACGAGCGGGAGTAGGGAGAGGCATGAGGGATGAGAGGAGCAGCTTGTTCCGTGAGCTGAAGCGAGTCCTGGGTTTGATAAAGCGGATCCAGGGCGACGTGCTTTACATCGTCGAAAACGTGGACATGGAGGGAGATATCAAGGAGCAAGTACAGCTCGCACATGAGGAGGTAACAACGGCACTAGGGCCAGGTGTGGTCGTGGACGGAGCGCAGACGGGGAGCAGGGCGCATCGGGAATGGCGCTTCTGGACCAATGGGGTCAATGAGGCGGCGCTACAGTACCGGCTCTCACTCATGGAACGACCGACTCCGCTATTGGTGGAGGATATCCTGGAACCCGGGAGGTTGGCGGCACCAGTGATGCGGCTGGATCATCCCGCTCAGTTTCCCTGCAATGAAGTGGGTAAGCCGAGGCAAGCCTGGCCAACGTTTGTGTCGTATCAGAACGCAGCTGCCTTCCGCATGCATGGTGAGGATCCGGGCCCAGGCATGGTATATGACTGCATGACAAGGGAGTGGCAAGAGCCAACGGCGCTGGAGAGGGAGCTGGCAATGGGGTTCATGATGGATGCAACGGCACACCCAGAAGTCACGGAAGAAGAGAGGAGAAGGGCGCTAGGCAGGGCCATGGACCTCAACGTCATGCATTGGCTCGTGGCCACCATCCGGATGTACCACTCCCAGCTGCGGTGGGAGCGGAAACGCGACAAAGCAGCAGCGGTGCAGCCACCAACGGAGAGGTCAGCGGCGAAAGAGGCCATGGCGCGGGCGATGCTGGGTGAGATTCAGGAACACGACGAGCGGCAGCATGAGCGAGGCCACCCGCTGGAAAGGAGGTGGGTCTATCCTTGGGAGGAGGAGGACGAGAGACCGGCCATTTATGCCGAGCAGGAAGAGATTTGGCTGCCAGGGGAGAGGGAGGAAGCCGCGATGGATAAGAAGCGGGAGGGCTTCGACGGGCTGGAGGAAGCAATCGAGCGGCAGCGGCGTTGATGGCGACACGAGCGGGAGTTTGGCCCGAGCGAATTCGCCCTCATGGCAGCGACAAAGGAGCCGGACATAACAGCAGGAGACACGGAAGGAGACCAGCCACGGCTCAATGGCGAAGCAGAGCAGGCGGCGGGTACAAGGGGCGAGCAAGCGGCGGCGCCGGAACCAGGGCCAGAGCAGCCAGAGTGGCCTGAAGGACAGCCAGACTGGGTGATTGGAGATGGGTTGTCAGCAGCCGACGCTGTGAAGCTGAAGGAGGTGCTGGCGAAGCACCGGGCAGCTTTTGCGTACACGCTCAAGGAGGTCGGGAGGTGCAATATGGCAGTGGTCACGTTGGAGCTGACGACAGACATCCCAGTGTATCAGCGGCGGCGGCGGATGACGGCAGAAGAAACACAGATATGCAAGGAGAAGTGTCAGGAACTGTTGGAGGCGGGGTTCATCAGGAGATCGAACTTGAAGTATGCAGCGGCGACAGTAGTGGCAGCACGCACAGATCTGACGGGCAAGGTGCTCTCCAAGAGGATGTGCGGGGATTACAGGGGACTTAATAAGGTTACCGTCATGAAAAGATACCAGACGCCGATGCCGGACGAGCTATTTGATCTGCTAGCAGAGGCGCTAGTGTTCACTACGCTGGATCTAAGGCAGGGCTTCAACCAGATACCGCTGGCGGAGACAGACAAGAAGAAAACAGCATTCCATGGGCCTGATGGGCTATACGAATGGAACCTCCTGCCATTCGGCCTGAAGTCAGCGTCACCAGAGTTCCAACGAGTCATGGACTAGGTGCTGAGAGACGTTAAGAACGCGGCATGCTACATCGACGATGTGATAGTATTCAGCACCGACAGCAGCACGCACGTGGCGGATGTGGAAGCGACCTTGAGCGCCATACAGGGGGCAGGCCTCACCTGCCACCCCGGGAAGTGCTCGTTCGGGCAAACCACGGTGGCATGCTGACCTGGGATTTGAAGTGGAAGGGGGGGAAGATTGGGATTCAAAAGGCAAAGGTTGAGGTGCTGGACCGCGTGGCAACCCCGAAGGATCGATCCAGCCTGCGAGCCCTCCTGGGCTTTTTGAACTACTACCGCAAATTCGTGCCCAACTTCAGCAGCAGGGCCACCGCATTGAACCAGCTACTTCGGGAAGACAAGCCGTGGGAATGGGGCCCCGAGCAGGAACGAGCGGTGCAGGATCTGATGGGCGCAGTCAAAAACGGCGCGGTGCTGGAGTTGCCGAGGGCGGACTTACGATTCACGCTCTACACGGATTGGAGCAGCGCAGGAATGGGAGCAGTGCTAGCACAGATGAAGGGAGAGGAGGAGAAGGTGGTAGCCTTCGCTAGCCGCAGCTGTAACGCGGCCGAGGCGAACTACTCCTCCTATGAGGGAGAGGGTCTAGCAGTGGTGTGGGCAGTGAAACACTTTAGGGTCTACTTGCAGGGCCGGAAGTTCACGCTGGTGACGGACCACCAACCGCTGCTCTGGCTGATGCAGACGCCAGACCTGACAGGGCGGAATGCGCGCTGGGCAATGAAATTGCAGGAATACGATTTCGAGATCAGGCACCGGCCAGGCAAGACCATGCAACACGTGGATGGGTTGTCGCGGAACCCACCGGCAGTGCAGCCATCAGCCTGCCTCATGGCGATGGCGAAGGAAGCAGACAAGGGGCAGGTCTGGGGAGAGCAAAAAGGGGGGCCAGCCGACATCTGGGAAGACCAAGCAGCGCTGGCCTGGATCCAGGGAGCAACCACGGAGGAAGGAGCCGTGCCAGCCCGAGTGCGAGCCAGAGGTGACCACTACAGGTGGTTCAAGGGGCAGGTGCAGCTGCGGACGGGGGAAGGATGGAAGCACGTCCCACCACCAGCAGACAGAGAGGGCATCATCAGGGAAGTGCACGCTAAGCTGGGGCATTATGGGCCATTACGGACGCAGCAGCTAGTGCAGACAGGATGGTGGTGGGCACGCATGCGGCAGCAGATTAAGGATTGGGTGGGCAAGTGCGAAGCCTGCTGCAGGAACCGAGCAGTACTGGAAAGGGAGAAGGCAGAACTGCAGCCGCTGCCTATAGTAAGTCTGGGGTACCGTTGGTCGCTTGATATCGCGGGGGAGCTGCCTGTTACCACGAAGGGGCGCCAGTATATACTGCTAATGGTGGAGCACGTCAGTAAGTGAGCAGAAGCGAGGCCGCTGGTGCACAAGTCGGCGGAAGCCGTGGCGGAAGCCTTTGAGGAGATGGTGATCACCAGGCTGGGGGCATGTGGAGAAGTGCTGACGGATCAGGGAACGGAGTTTGCCGGGGCCTTCGAACAGCTGCTGCAGGCCAGCGGCATTCGGCACAGGACCACATCGCGCTACCACCCCCAGAGTGACGGGCTCACGGAGAGGCTGGTTCAGACAGTGAAGAAGGGGCTGAGGGCATACGGGGAGGAGCACAAGAGGGATTGGGATAGGAAGCTCTGCTGGGTCATGGCGGGGTATCGTTTCAGTAAGCAGGCGGCGCTGAGGGATGTCTCCCCCTACTATCTGCTGTTTGGCAAGGAGCCAGTGCTGCCGGTGGGGGCACCAAAGCTGCTGGTGGACGTGATCACCACCGGCTCGCCAGAGAAGTGGGTCGCGGTGGCGGACGCGCGGGCGGCGTACCTGAGGCATCTGCTGCCAGCAGCGCTGGAAAACTTACACGTCGCCCAGCTGCGGGACATAGAGCGGTACAAGCGGCGGCAGGAAGCCAATGGCAAGGGTGCGGCAGTAGGAGTGCAGGAGGAGGATGAGGTGTACATCAGGAGGCAGCGCAAGCATGCGCTCGATGTGGGGCTTTCCCAGCAGCGTTGGACCGTGAAGGAGGTGCGCCCCTCGGGGGTGATCGTGCTGGAAGACGGAAAAGGGAGGCGGGTGGCAGATCATATAACAAATGTGGCCAGGATCCGCTCAGAGATGGCGAAGGGCGGACCCCAAGGTCCCATGACGCGCGCGAGGGCGGCGGCATTGCGCCATGGGAGGGGGCAAGGAGGGTCCGAGGAAGGAACCAGCAAGGACAAGGGAAAGCAGAAAGTGGGAAGGAGTCCGTGGGAACAGGATCGTGCGAGGAGCTGCAAGGCACAATCGGTGGAAGAGAAGAACCAGGGGATCCAGCCAGAGGCGGGCTGAAGAGAGCAGGAAGGGTGGATGGAGGGTTTCCGACAGCTGTCAGAATCCTAAGGTTATTGCCTCAGGATGTCAGACAGAAGGTGTAGCGGGGTTAAGCACAAAGGGGGGGTTTTTGTACCGTACTGTACATTTGTAAATAGTGAAGGACTCTGCAGCGGGGAAGGAAGTGGCGTGCGGTAAGGGGGGGGGTCGGCCGAGTGGGTGGCAGTGGGTGGTTCTACAAAGGGTGGATGGCGGGCCGGGATGATGAGAGGTGTGTTGGCAGGGTTGGCAGCGAGATGACGTGGTATGGTATGAGATTGAGGGAGGGGTATGGTGTGCATGGGGGTGTGCTCGTTTGTTCTCGCAGACACCGAGTCCAAGGTCAGCTGGAAGTCACTGTAGCCAGCTGGGAGGCAGGCCGTGTGGCAGCATGGATGGCAGCCAGGCTGATCCCGCAACAAATCTGTTGTTAGGCTAGCCTTGCTAGGGTTGTTAGGGAAGCATAAGCATGGGCCTTGGGCCATGGGACTGCTACTGTGCGTTTGTTTTCGTGAATTTACTGCAACATTCCTTGTGACACGCAGTTCTAACACGGAGCCATCACCACAGTCAAGATGAGTAGTTAGGAGGCCCGATAGATAGGAGGGTCCGAGGAAGGAACCAGCAAGGACAAGGGAAAGCAGAAAGTGGGGTAAGGCACAAAAGGGAGAGGAAGGGAAGGAGGTGGGAAGGAGTCCGTGGGAACAGGATCGTGCGAGGAGCTGCAAGGCACAATCGGTGGAAGAGAAGAACCAGGGGATCCAGCCAGAGGCGGGCTGAAGAGAGCAGGAAGGGTGGATGGAGGGTTTCCGACACAGGTGCTCCCGAAGAGCTTCAGCAAGGGGGTGGTAGGCCAGAACCACTCCCTTCAGCAGCGATTAGGAGTCAGCCAGAACCACCCCCGCGCTCTCTCCCTCCCCCTGGACCTCCCCACCCCATTCCCCCCTCCCACTCACGTGAACTGCTGCAGCTGCTGCTTGAAAGCATCAGCCAGGGGGCGGTGGGCCTCCCTCAGCAGCGCCTGGGAGTGAGACAGAGCCACCTCCGCGCTCTCTGCCTCATCCTTTCCCCCGCTCCCTCCCTCTGGAGTCTGGAACCCCCCACCCCATTTACCCCCTCCCACTCACGTGCACTGCTGCAGCTGCTGCTTGAAAGCAGCATTCAGGCGGTGATGGGCCTCCCTCAGCAGCGCCTGGGAGTGAGACAGAGCCACCTGCCAGGCGCCCTTCACCGGTTGGAGCGCCTCAGAGCACCCCGCGCCCTCTTCCAGCTGGGCTATGGCTGCTATGTAAGGCTCTAGATCGGCTTTGGGACCTTCTTTGATGCGCGCCTCCAACTGCGAGCAAGGAGGAGTAAGGGGAGAGTGGGGGAAAGGGCGTGTAAGGGTCTGCATGGGGAATACTTGCACCATTCGCCTCAGAGCACCCCGCATTATATAGCTGCTAGGAAAGGCTCTAGATCGGCCTTGGGACCTTGTTTGATGCGCGCCTCCAACTGTTACAAGGGAAAGGCACGAAGGTGCAGAAATGAGTAAGGCCAAGGCCAATCTGCCTCTTCCCCCACCGCACCCTCCTGCAGCTGCACTATGGCCACCAGATACGGCTCTAGGCCGGCCTCGAGCAGGAACCATCTTGTTGCAGGTTGCTTTTGGGAATTCTCACAAACTCCCTCCTGCAGCTGTGCTATGGCTGCTATGTACGGCTATAGGTCAGCCTCGAGCAGGAACCGTCTAAACCGCTATTCCTGGGGCCCTCCTTGATACGCGGGGGAAGATGCGTGGGGTGAGCATAAGCTCTCGTGAGGGAACAAGGTGAGGGGAGGGCTCAACTGGGCCTGTGACTCTCGGGTCACTGGTCATGAAGAAGAGCTGCAGCGTGAAGGATCGCTTTAGCAAAGAACGATAGTCACTTGTTGAAAAATAGTAACCCTGTAAAAAATTAGAGTAGGAACCGAAAGCACAGCTCTGTTCAAAACTCTGACTTAGGCAAACATGTTTCGGCTTCGCACGGGGATTGTACCCGCTAGGCCTTCATCAGTGCAAGAGTTCTAAATGAAAGAGCGAGCAAGCGAGGGGTCTAAAAGAACACCCAAGCCTCGAAATCTACTCAAGAAAATCCTACCCTGGGCACAAAACTAGATAAGAAAAGTGCCAACTAGACACGAAAGAAAACTCCAAAGTGTCCAGTCATTCCTCGGGTCTGTCTTCGGCAGTCTTGGAATTGGGTGGTGGTAACCTCGCGCGAACCAGGCGCTGTTGCGCATTTTGTGCACACTTCCAAGCAACAAAAATTCGATCAGTATAAAAATTGCGGGTAATGAGACGACTTTTGAGGCGCCTCAAAAGCTGAGCAGAAGCTCTCGTGAGGGAACAAGGTGAGGGAAGGGCTGAACTGGGCCTGTGTCTCTCCTTCCCAGACAGGTCACACTGGGCCTCTAGGCTCTAGTCCTAGTGTGACCACCTTGGAAGGGTTTAGGGTTGTAATGACACTTCCAACACGTTATTCCTTTCCTAGTGAGACAAGACCCTCCTCCATCCATCCATACCCGACATGACCTCAGAACACTTCTTAGGCGCTTTAAGAATCGGCTAGGTGCAGTGCTGCTCCGATCCCCTGCTCCGATCCCCTGCTCCGATCCCCTGCTCCGATCCCCTGCTCCGATCCCCTGCTCCAATAGATAAAAGAGGTCGAGAACAACTCGACTCGACTCGAAACTCACTCGAGGCCAAAAAAATTACTCGACTTGTGTTTTTCCCGTAGTACCCCTACACACGTTTGTGGTTAGCTAACGCCAAACCCAAACACACTTGTCTCTTTGAGACTCGAATGGTCTACTCCTCCCAACATACTTACTCCACGTTAGCGAAGGGAGGCTAAGCACACTCGCATTACAAGAGTATTCTTTCACCCTCCTCCAGCCCCTCCTCCAGCCCCTCCTCCAGCCCCTCCTCCAGCCCCTCCTCCAGCCCCTCCTCCAGCCCCTCCTCCAGCCCCTCCTCCAGCCCCTCCTCCAGCCCCTCCTCCAGCCCCTCCTCCAGCCCCTCCTCCAGCCACTCCTCCAGCCCCTCCTCCAGCCCCTCCTCCAGCCCCTCCTCCAGCCCCTCCTCCAGCCCCTCCTCCAGCCCCTCCTCCAGCCCCTCCTCCAGCCCCTCCTCCAGCCCCTCCTCCAGCCCCTCCTCCAGCCCCTCCTCCTTCCTTCCTAGTACTACTTATCCAACCCGTCTCGCCTCCTACCAAGCCTTGATTCAGACCCTCTTGCCACGGCATTCCTACTGCCTCGCCACGTCATCTCACCTGCCTTGCCACGTCATCTAACCTGCCTTGCCACGTCATCTCACCTACCTTGCCACGTCATCTCACCTGCCTTGCCACGTCACCTCACCTGCATCGCCACTTCATACTTCTCCAGCACCAGATGAGCAGCCTTGAGCGGCTTCTCTCCCATTGACATGCGAAGGAGGGGGAGGGAGAGGATGCGAGGGTGAGGGAGGGGGAGGAAGGGGGAGGGAAGGGGAGGGAAGGGGAGGGAAGGGGAGGGAAGGGGAGGGAGGGGAAGAGAGAGGGGGAGGGTGAAACGGGGAAAGGGAGAACAGTCAGTCATCGCACACTCATGTGCGTGTGTGTGCCTTGCGGATGGGGTAGGTACGCTCCTGGCAGGTCATGCAGTGGTGGGAGTGGCGGAAAGGACAGTGATGGGGACGGAGAGAACGAGAGGGGAAGGGAGAACGAGAGGGGAAGGGAGAACGAGAGGGGAAGGGAGAACGAGAGGGGAAGGGAGAACGAGAGGGGAAGGGAGAACGAGAGGGGAAGGGAGAACGAAATGGAGAACGATGGGGAAAGGGAGATCGAAAGGGAGAACGAGAGGGAAAGGGAGAGGGAGAGGCTATAATCAGGCCACTGATTATAGCGAGCGTGTGCCTTGTGGAATGGCATAGGTGCGTTCCTGCCGGATCAGGCCACAACAAAGTTGGGCGAAAGGAGGGTGAGGGAAGGGAGCGGGAGAAGGATCGGGGGAGGGAAGGAGGGGGAGGGAGAGGGCGCGCTGGAAGGGAGGGGAAGGGAGAGGGCGCGCTGGAAGGGAGGGGGAGGGAGATGGTGTACATGCCGCTCTTGCCAGGTCGTCGTGAGGTGGGCGTGGGGGAAGGAGAGTGGGGAAGGGGAGTGGCAGGAGAGGGAGATGAAAGGGAGTGGGGGAGGGAGAATGGGAGATGAAAGGGAGTGCTGCTCTTGCTAGCTGTATTTTGAGTCGACTCAAGATGAAAGGGAGTGCTGCTCTTGCTAGCTGTATTTTGAGTCGACTCAAGATGAAAGGGAGTGCTGCTCTTGCTAGCTGTATTTTGAGTCGACTCAAGATGAAAGGGAGTGCTGCTCTTGCTAGCTGTATTTTGAGTCGACTCAAGATGAAAGGGAGTGCTGCTCTTGCTAGCTGTATTTTGAGTCGACTCAAGATGAAAGGGAGTGCTGCTCTTGCTAGCTGTATTTTGAGTCGACTCAAGATGAAAGGGAATGCTGCTCTTGCTAGCTGTATTTTGAGTCGACTCAAGATGAAAGGGAGTGCTGCTCTTGCTAGCTGTATTTTGAGTCGACTCAAGATGAAAGGGAATGCTGCTCTTGCTAGCTGTATTTTGAGTCGACTCAAGATGAAAGGGAGTGCTGCTCTTGCTAGCTGTATTTTGAGTCGACTCAAGATGAAAGGGAGTGTTGCTCTTGCTAGCGAGGTCATCCCGAGGTGGGCGTGGGGGAAGGAGACTTAGCGGTGGGAGGAGGGCTAGGGAAGGAAGTAGGGGAAGCAGGGCGAGAGAAGGGGGTGGGGGAGAGTGAGAGAGGGGAGTGGGGAGAGCAGGGCGAGAGAAACGAGTGGGATGAAAGGAAGCCGTATTCATGTGAGCGTGGTGCTTGTCGATGGCTTATGTGGCTCCTGCCAGTTCAGGTCGACGTGGAAAAGGGAGAGTGCAGTCTGAAAGTGGAAGAGGGCGGGCGAGAGACGGGAGTGGCGGGAGGAGGGAGATAGAAGGGAGTAGGGGAGGGAGAGTGCGGGATGTGAGGGGGAGTGCGGGATGTGAGGGGGAGTGCGGGATGTGAGAGGGAGTGCGGGATGTGAGAGGGAGTGCGGGATGTGAGGGGGAGTGCGGGATGTGAGGGGGAGTGCGGGATGCAAGGGAACGTGCATAAGCATGCAATCAAGCGCAAGAACAACACGCAGGTGGGGTGACGCGCAAGAACATCCCGCAGAGGGTCAGACGCCATAACACTTGCATGTGAAGCGGCTACGACAAAGGGTTGCCTCTTTTGTGAAGCCTGCGGGATTAAAAATAGGTTTGAAAGGCTACCTCCGCTGCGACTCTGACTCCCCGGTGGCCAAGCGGGGCGTTCGGCTCGGTTCGGCTCGGCGCGGCTCGGCGCGGCATGGCTCGACTCGGCTCGGCAGCGCGGCGCGACGCGGCGTGGCTCGGCTCGGTGGTTCGGCTCGGTTTCTCTGCTCTGCTCTGCTAATGCTCTGGCTCGCTACGGCTCTGCTAACGCTTTGGTTCGCTTTGCTGCTCTGTGTGAAAACAAGACCATAGGCGTGCAATGCTCCATCCAAGCCGACCAAGGTGACTGAGGCGGGCCTTCCGATTGCTCGCGTCGCATCACTGTGCATTGGATCGTCTATGTCGCACGCCTCACCTGGGACGGTCGCATAGCCGCGAGCCGCTGGTCGAATGATACTAGGCGATCATTGCTGCTCTGCGACTGCGCCAATGTGTTGCACGGCGCCGCGTCAGCCACGTTTGCGGCGTCGCAAAAATCGACAATTACTGAATTCTACACTTCCTATGCCTAGTATTCCTAAACCAGGGCGTATTTTCATCCCAAATCCCACTCGGAGTGGGGCTTCCTAAACCACCCTTGATGTTTCTCTCAGGGGCAAATCTCACTTCTACTGCACTCCAGGGTCTTGAAGTCCACTCTAGTCCGAGAGCTGCACGGGGTGGGGTTTTGCCACTGTTGATTGAAGGGGAACCGAGCCTCGATCAAACCTCGGAAGCTGACCGGCAGTTTCTCCAGCCCGGCTGGTCCCAGCCGGCCTGGAGTGCCTGCCCAACAGCGCCTAGGTTGGGCACCAAAAAGGCCTCGTGGGTTCTCTTGATCCAGAACCCAAACCGAGCTCAAACCGAGCCCATATCCTTTTTTCCCGACAAATACCGCAGCTTAGGACGGAGTATTATTGGATGATCGATCACGATCGACAATCTGTGCGTGTTTCGGCTACCCTACTTACTCAAAGTAACCATGCTACAGTAATGTTTATGGCTACATTTTGTGCACAGTAAATGACGGCGACTGATCACTGGTCGGTTGTTGGATTCACCAACACAGAAAGCTGGGCTGAAGTGCACGAGCCGAGCGCAACAGGTGGGATTGATTCTGATGTCAGCGAATTTCGACACACTTCGCCGACGGTTGGAGTCGCGCATCAATCTGGAACGGGAAAAGATCACCGAGGGGCCGAACAGTGCCAGAGAAGTGATCGACCAGGGGCCGAGAGGCCCGGAACTTACCAAGCCGCTGCTCAAGGAGGTACTGACAAAGAGTTTTCATTTATTACACGTGTTTATGTTATTATTGGCATGTATCGGCTCGCATTTTCACTCGCGTGTCGTTTAGCGAGCCGACTCTACTGGGAACTCGTAGGGCAGCAAAAAAATCAAAAAATAATAGGGAGCCTGGATGCATTTTCGGGATGGATCAACCCTAAAATCGGAAAACTTCCTTGTATTCAGGGTTGATGCCTCCCGAGTCGCATCCGTTCCTGAATGGGTAATATATTGTTTTCTGCTGCGTTTAAGATCGGGTGGCTGATATGTATCACCCAGAATATAATGTGCTATACGTACTCACAATTTGATCTTTACTTCCAGAAGAAGGCGACACTCGCGTTGTAGTAGACGGAGGTCAAACCAGTCAATAAATAAAATAAGCACAAAATTGGTTCTTTCAACGAATATCTTTTAAACACGGTTCGGTTTGTTCGCCTAGTCGTTTGGGCGGATCTGGGTTGAAATCCTACGGTCGAGATTTACCGGCCCTACTCTGATCATCCCTCTGGCATTGTTCGGCCCCTCGGTGATCTTTTCCCATCTGGAACTTAGCGGAATGTTTGACCGAAGGGAGTTTGTCATAGACGGTGTCGCATGCAAAACCACATTCTCTGTTATGGAACATCCAACACATCAACCGCCGACGATCGTTACAACCATGTGAGCGGCGCGTTTCGCCAATCGATCCGCCAAATCGGTTTCGAGGCTCGTTTTTGCCACGCGAGCCATCGATCTTCTCACTTGAACCGCGTCTTCAGCCTGAACCTTCGGAACCCTGACACTTGTGGCGGGGTTCGGAAGTCACTTGTTCGGAACTGGAACGCTCTTGAGTGACCCCAATGGTTCGATCAACTTGTTTGGACCAAGGGCCTGTGGTACGGGTCCGGAGGAACCGGACCTGTGGTACGGGCTAGTGTCACTCAACCAGACCAGAACCCGAAACGCAGGCCAGAACAGCCGTGGGTCACACACGTGACTGAGGGCGCATTTCAGGCCTCGTAACAAGTGACTTCCGAACAAGTTGGTCGTCGCACAGGGCCCAAGTTGTTACGAGGCTGAAAGTTATACCTCAGAACAAACAGGTTTCAGCACGATCAAGAAATTCGCACATGTACAGAGTTGGATCGCATTCAGTAATATGGCTCGTCGATTCACTGTCTGCGAAGCCTACCAGGTCCATAAGCTGACGGCTTCACGAGCCATCTTTTTGTTGGTGCTGCCCAAAAATATTATAGGGGAAAGTTCCAACATAGAATTGGAAACAGCATCACAAACAGGCCAGCCTCTTGGCTTCGAAAGTGCCTTGAATATCAAACAGCCCGTCAAAATTATTTCAGCAGCTAGAGGGTGACGAAACCAGGTCGCCTGCTGTCAGATAGACAGTGCGCGACGGGAGAATCATGATCGCCAGCGTTCGTAATTCGGCCAGTTTTTTGCAAGAAGCTGTTACGAAGTTTTGGTCGCCACAAATCGCCAAAAGTAGCAGAGAATCGCAAAGGCGTCGCTTGTTACGAAGTGACTTGTTCGTAACAGCCTGAAATGCGCCCTGACACGGCGAACCTCATTTTCCTAGATTGCACAGGTCAGCCACGTAAAAAATAGAGCGAAAAAAGCAGAAATGATAGTACCGCGCGTGAGCTTAGCTTTCGAGTAGCAGCTATCTGTTTAGGGGAGATACGGCATAGCGGAATTTCGTTGACTCATTGATTAGTACGCGAGTTTGCGAAAACGACGGAGTAACGCCGTCATTTGAGACGTCGCAAACGTCGCTATGGTCGCGGAGGTGGCGTGCGACTTAGCGTCGCACGCACAGGCTTTGCGCGACGCGTTGGCGCAGTCGCAGAGCAATAATGATCGCCTGGCAGACATTTTAGGGTCGTTCGACCAGCGGCTCTCGGCCTTAGACACGGCCATGCGACCGACTCAGGTGAGGCGTGCGACATGTGCGATGCGTTGACCTATTGCGACAAACTGAAGCGAGGCGTCGCACCGCGACGAGCGAGATGAAGGCGGCAGACGCGCGCGATAACAAATAGGGCCTCCGTCCTCCCATTTCGCGCAGACCATCGCTGAAGCTGCTCCGACCTGGCGTTCCTCGCGTCCGATTGGTCGAGAACGCGGTCCGCGACACGCCCGTCCCTCCCCGTACCGCGCGGCACGTGAATGAAGCTGCGTATCGCGCAGCTTACAGCGCTATCTCCTCTAAGTTCCCTCTCCGTATTTTCTCTCCCGTTCCTCTCCCTTCCTCTTCCACCTTCCGCACTCTCCTCCCCCACTCTCCTCCCCCACTCTCCTCCCCCACTCTCCTCCCCCACTCTCCTCCCCCACTCTCCTCCCCCACTCTCCTCCCCCCACTCTCCTCCCCCCACTCTCCTCCCCCCACTCTCCTCCCCCCACTCTCCTTACGTCACTCTTCTTCCGCACTCTCTTCGTTCCTCCTGTTCTCCTCTCCCCAATCTCGTCACGCGCACATTCTCATGACAGACCTTTCCCCCTCCCACCGCGGCCTGACCTGCGCCATCTGAAGCAAGATACATGGCGGCTGCATGAGATATGGCCTCTCCTATGCCCGCCTATGCCCTCCCACCGCAGTCTGACCTGGCAGCACCACACCACACCACACCACACCACACCACGCCACACCCGCGCCATCTGCAGCAAGGCGCATGCCCACATGAATATGGCCCCTCCCTTTCCCCTCCTCGCTCTCCCTTTCTCGGGCTGCCTTCACGCCGCGATGCCTCAGTCAACATGTCGTTTCCCATTCAAATCCTTCTCCGCAGGAGCACACCTGCGCTGATTGAAGAAGTGTTTTGAAGAAGTCTTCAATCACGTGGTTATCCTTCTCCGCAGGAGCACACCTGCGCTGCGCCATCTGCAAGCCACACGCTCACATGATTATGCCCTGACTGCCCTTTTTCCTTTCCCTCTCCCTCTCCCCTTTTCCTCCCCCTCTCCCTCCCCCTTTTCCTCCCGCTTTCCCTCCCCCTCTCCCTCTCCCTCCCCCACTCCCACCGCGGCCTTACCTTACAGGACCACACCTATGCCGTCTGCAATGCAAGGCTCACGCTCGCATCGCATGAGTATACCCTGACTGAACGACTTTCTCCCTTTCCCTCTCTCTTTCCTTTTCCTTCGCCCCCTCCCTTCCCCACGCTCACCGCGCGCATGCTGACCTGGCAGGAGCGCACTTACACCATCCGCAAGGCGCACGCTCGCACAAATATGCCCTCTCCCTTTCCCCATTTTCATCTCCCTCTCCCCTCACCCCCATGCCCAACTCGGCATGACCTGGCAGGAGTGCGCCCATGCCATCAACAAGGCGCTCGCGCACATAAATACGCCCAGCCCGAACCAGCCTATCTTCCTTTCTCCCTTTCTCTGTTGCAACCTCCCTCCCCCGCTCCCATTCCCAACTCGGCCTGACCTGGCAGGAGCGCACCCACGCCATTGACAAGGCACTCGCGCACATGAATATGCCCGAACCGGCCTATCTTCCTTTCTTTCCTTTTTCCCGTTCCAACCTCCCTCCTTCTCCCTTGCCAACTCCCGACTCGGCCTGACCTGACAGGAGCGCACCTACGCCATTCGCAAGGCACACGTGCGTGCGCTTACGTAATAATGCACTGACCCGACCCGACTGACAATTCTTCCATTCCCCCTCCCACCCACCAATGGCCTGACCCGGCAGGAGCGCACCTACGCCATCCGCACGCAATTCATGTGAATATTCCCCGACTGACCTTTCCCTCTCCCTCTTGCTACCCCCCACCCGTGGCCTGACCCGGCAGGAGCGCACCTATGCCATCCGCAAGGCGCATGTCAACATGAGTATGGCCTGACCTTCCTTTCCCCTTCCCTCTCCTCCCCTTCCTTCCCCCCACCCACTTACATCACAGGAGCGCACATATGCCATCCGCAAGGCGCATGTCAACGTGGACAGGGCGCTCAAGGCTGCTGAGGTGGTGCTGGAGAAGTATGACGTGGCAAGACAGGTGAGATGACGTGGCGAGGCAGGTGAGATGACGTGGCGAGGCAGGTGAGTGAGATGACGTGGCGAGGCAGGAGATATGACGTGGCGAGGCAGGGTGACGTGGCAAGGCGGGTTCAAAATTATGACTTAGAAACGAAAGATGGATAGGAGGATAGCAGGGGGAGAGTAACGAGGGGGGTGATAGAATATGGTTGCTAAGTTTCGTTGGGTAAAGGCATGACACACCGCCGTTGATGACTATTGGATTGGACTAGTAGCGGCAGCACGAAATATGACAGCCCCAACCCCAAAAGCGTCTTATCCGCCAAAAGCGCGAGTGACATACAATTCAAAGACAATGTGAGCAATGCACTCAACGTGGTGAGTACCACCACACTAGCTTTCGTACTCCACCACAGCTCAGTGCGGTCGCACGAGGTACGGCCCCCACCACGGTGCGGTCGCACGAGGGCTTGGATGCGTTGAGGGAAACCTCTCGTTTTTTTAGCCGACTCATCACTTCCATCCCCATTCTTTGCTGGTACGTGGAGGAGCGCTTTCAGGAGGGCCCCAACCCAAGAATGCTCTGGTACCTTACAGGCAGCCATAGCATGGCTGCAAGGGGGCATGCGTCGCGTACTTTGAGACTTGAGGCTTTGAGGCGCGCTGCGCAATTGGTCTCTGCACCGTGTGAATGTTGGAATTTTCATATGCCCTTCTCCGTTTCTCCCCTCGCTCTTTACTGGCAGGTGGAGGAGCGCATCAAGGAGGGTCCCAAGACAAGAACGCTCTGGATCCGTACCTGGGAGCCGTAGTCCGCTTGCACAAGGGCGTGGCGTACTTTGTGATCTCCATCTGCCCTTCTCCCCCTCCCCCCCTCCACCCCCCCCCCCCCCCCCCCCCCCCTCCCCCCCGCTTTTCGATGGCAGGTGGAGGAGCACATCAAGGAGGATCCCAAGAACGCCCTGGACCCATAACTAGCCGCCATAGCGCAGCTACACGAGGGCGTGGGGTGCTTTGAGGCGAACCGTGCATCTGGTGTCCGTGTATACCCTCACACCACGTCCCGTGTTTTGAGACGTCTCAAAACACGTTTCCGTGTATACCCTCACACCACGTTCCGTGTTTTGAGACGTCTCAAAACACGTTTCCGTGTATACCCTCACACCACGTTCCGTGTTTTGAGACGTCTCAAAACACGTTTCCGTGTATACCCTCACACCACGTTCCGTGTTTTGAGACGTCTCAAAACACGTTTCCGTGTATACCCTCACACCACGTTCCGTGTTTTGAGACGTCTCAAAACACGTTTCCGTGTATACCCTCACACCACGTTCCGTGTTTTGAGACGTCTCAAAACACGTTTCCGTGTATACCCTCACACCACGTTCCGTGTTTTGAGACGTCTCAAAACACGTTTCCGTGTATACCCTCACACCACGTTCCGTGTTTTGAGACGTCTCAAAACACGTTTCCGTGTATACCCTCACACCACGTTCCGTGTTTTGAGACGTCTCAAAACACGTTTCCGTGTATACCCTCACACCACGTTCCGTGTTTTGAGACGTCTCAAAACACGTTTCCGTGTATACCCTCACACCACGTTCCGTGTTTTGAGCCTCTCAAAACACGTTTCCGTGTATACCCTCACACCACGTTCCGTGTTTTGAGACGTCTCAAAACACGTTTCCGTGTATACCCTCACACCACGTTCCGTGTTTTGAGACGTCTCAAAACACGTTTCCGTGTATACCCTCACACCACGTTCCGTGTTTTGAGACGTCTCAAAACACGTTTCCGTGTATACCCTCACACCACGTTCCGTGTTTTGAGACGTCTCAAAACACGTTTCCGTGTATACCCTCACACCACGTTCCGTGTTTTGAGACGTCTCAAAACACGTTTCCGTGTATACCCTCACACCACGTTCCGTGTTTTGAGACGTCTCAAAACACGTTTCCGTGTATACCCTCACACCACGTTCCGTGTTTTGAGACGTCTCAAAACACGTTTCCGTGTATACCCTCACACCACGTTCCGTTCCGTGTTTTGAGACGTCTCAAAACACGTTTCCGTGTATACCCTCACACCACGTTCCGTGTTTTGAGACGTCTCAAAACACGTTTCCGTGTATACCCTCACACCACGTTCCCGTCTCCCCAATATCCCGGCACTCTCACGCTGCCAGGTGGAGGAGCGCATTAAAGAAGGTCCCAAGAACGCATTGGACCCATACTTGGCAGCTATTGCGCGGCTGCACGAGGGCGTGGCGTACTTTGAGGCGCACCGGTCGTTCAAGAGCGCGGAGGCGGCTCTCGCCCACTCCAAGGCGCTGCTGAGGGAGGCCCACCACCGCCTGGAGGATGTTCTGCGGCAGCAATTGCTGCAGTATACGTGCGTGAGAGATGGGGGGGAAAAGGGGGGGGGCTAGGGGGAGGGAAGCGCGGAGGCGGCTCTCGCTCACTCTAAAGGGATTGCTGAGGGAGGGCCACCACCGCCTGGTCTGGATGATGCTCTCTGGCAGCAGCTGCTGCAGTTCCTGTGAGTGAGCAGAGAGGGGGAGGGATAGTGTGCAGGGAGGGATAGGAGGATAGGACCTCCAGGCGTCTCAAAAGGGAGGCCCACCACCGCCTGGTCTGGATGATTCTCTCTGGCAGCAGCTGCTGCAGTTGTGAGATGGGGAGGGATGGGGGAGGGAGTGTGGAAACGAGGAGGCAAAGAGATTGAAAAAGGGGGTCATTAGAACCGTAAAAATACTGACATGTGGGCAAGAACCAATGGACGGTATTAGAAAGTTGTGGTATATATAGTTGGATAAGGACAGGGAGGGGCTTTGGTGGAGATCTTGCCTAGATTATTGGCTCCATCATTGGCTCCATCATTGGCTCCATCATTGGCTCCATCATTGGCTCCATCATTGGCTCCATCATTGGCTCCATCATTGACCCACACCCACCAATAAGCTGGTCGGGTTAAGAAGGCCTCAGTAACTCAGTTCGTTTGTCAACGTGTAATGAGTCGTGTTTTGAGTCGACGCAAAATCCGCGTGTAATGAGTCGTGTTTTGAGTCGACTCAAAACACGACTCATAAGTTGGTCGGGTTAAGAAGGCCTCAGTCACTCAGTTCATTTGTCAACGGTGAACGACGGTTGTTTGCGGTCTGGTAATGTTGCAACCCAACTGTGAGGGCCAAGTAGTTGGTTCACAGGTTGAATTCTAGATCCAACTAGGGCGATCATAAATCGTGCACCCGAACTAGGTTCAGGTGCTTAGTGCTAGTCAAGCATTGAGTATGCATGGAGGATATGAAGAGGCTAATGATATGACATAACCTCTTCTTGTGCATCGACACAACTTGTAATTTTGTCAGAACGGGGAGCAGATTCCAATCCAAGAGGCGCAAAAGTGTAGGTTGAGCGAAGCGATGGTGAAAACGACTGTGGGTTTCGCAGACGAGTCAGCTTTGCGCTTTGAGATGTGACAATCCTGAACGAGGTCACGATTCACAAACAAGTTATGTGTGGAGCTTGATGTGTTTGGACCAACCAAGGACGACGCTTTATATGAAGAGGGGGTGGTGTTGGCGTTGTGGAGTAATGGAGAGCCTTGAACGGTGAAGAGCCTTGAATGGTGAAGAGCCTTGAATGGTGAAGAGCCTTGATGCTGGTGGGGTTTGCAGAGGAGTCACTATTGCGCTCGGAGATGTGACCATCTTCAATGAGGTTGCGATCAAACTAGCCGTGGAGCTCGGTGCGTTTGGAGCAACCAAGGAAGGCAACGTCCTTTGGTGAGGTGATGGTCTTGACGTTGGGGTTGTGGAGCAAGGGAGAGCCTTGGCAAAGGAAGATGCAGGTGGGGTTTGTAGAGGAGTCACTATTGCGCTCAGAGATGTGACCATTCTGAATGAGGTCGCCAACAAAGTAGTGGTGGGCAGGCGGCAGGGCGAGGAGGAGTGGGTGGGGGGGGGAAGATTCTGATTCCTCCTCTAATTAGCCTTCACTTAAACCATCCATTCCATTTAACTCCCCCTCTTGTGTGTCCTCCTCCCCCCTCTTCTTCCCAGCAAGGATGCAGACCCTGCAAAGCTGCTAAACACGTGTAAGCAGGGCGAGGAGGCGGCGGGCGGGGAGGGCGAGAAGGAGGGGGCCGGGCTGCCGGTGCTGCTGGCGAATGGCAAGGCGGGCGAGCGAATCTGCCAGCTGGCAGAGGCGCTCACCCACCCCAACTAATCCAGCTCCCCCTTTCTTCCCCTCTCCCCCCTTTCCCCCCTCCCCCCCCCCCCCCCCCTCCCCCTTTCCCCCTTTTCCCCTTCCCCTTTTCCTAACACTCCCCCATTCCCTCCCTCCCTTCCCATGCCCCCCTTCCCCCTTTCCAGAAAGGACGCGGACCCGGCAAAGCTGCTAGACGCGAGCAAGCAGGGCGAGGAGGAGGCGGGCGGGGAGGGCGAGAAGGAGGGCGGTGGGCTGCCGGTGCTGCTGGCGGACGGCAAGGCGGGCGACCGCATTCGCCAGCTGGCAGAGGCGCTCATTCGGATTGGCCGGGCCGATAACTGCCTCAAGATCTACACGTGAGTGGCGGGAGGTGTGAAGCGTTGATTTCTTTATCGCCTGGGCGGGCGCATCCGACGGCTGGGACAGGCGCTCATCAGTGTGTGATGTGTGACAGTAGGGGCCCTTGCACCTCATTGTCTGCGCGCGCATCACCAATGACTGACCGCACTGGTGTGGCAGCTATTGCTGCTGCTGGCGGATGGCAAGGTGGGCGACTGCATCCGCCAGCTGGCAGAAGCACTCATCCGGATTGGCTGGGCTGACAACTTCCTCGAGATCTACACGTGAGTGAGGGGTTTGTTACAGTGTAGTGTGGAGGTTGAAAATGTTTTCTTCGCTCGCTTGGTAGTAATGTAGATATAAGACGGTTTTAAGGACTGCTTGGAGATGTACCTGTTGGGAAGGTTTTTTGGCTTGGCACGAGCGTTTTAGGAGTGAGAAAGGAAGGGTTCATTCAGTTGCCCTGGTACATGTGTGTGGTGCTGTTGTGGTACCGGTATTCACATTAAGGTGGGCTGGTACCTACCTCCCACACTCTCTCTCTTCACACACTCTCTCCCCGCACTCGCATACACCCTCCTCCTCACCCCCCACCCCCCCCATCCCCGAGCATCAAGGTCCCTATCACTCACTCACTCCCACCCCACTCCACTCCCACACTCATCCAACAACCTCTCCCCCCCCTCCCCCCTTTCCCCAAGAAGTGAGGTGTGAGGCACGATGGTGGAGGCGGTGCGCATTGCCGTGGAGAAGCTCACCTCCACACACACTCACACTCACACTCACACTCACACATTCACACGCTATCTCATACTCGCCCACTCCCACACCCACACATGCACAGCGAGGTGCGAGGGACGATGGTGGAGGCGGGGTTGAAGCGCATTGCTGTGGAGAAGAGGAGCTCACGCTTCCTTACACTCTCTCCCTCATGCTTCCCCACTTACATACAACTCACCTTCACCCAATCAGCGAGGTGCGAGGGACGATGGTGGAGGCGGGGTTGAAGCGCATTGCCGTGGAGAAGCTCACGCGCGAGCAGATGGACGGCATGTCCTGGGGGGAGCTGGAGAAGCGCATTGAGGGGTGGCGACGGCAGACAAGGCTGGCGGTGAGTCAGAGCAGATTGATGATTTGACAAAATACTTGACTTAGAAATTCTCGGTTAGAAACAGTTGACTGAAGGTGGTTGACTGGAAAAAGGAAGCTCACTCGCGAGCAGATGGACGCCATGACTTGGGTGGGGGGAGCTGGAGAATCGCATTGAGGTCGTTTTTGAGGCGCCTCAAAAACGACCTCAATGGAGCTGGAGAAGCGCGTTGAAGGGTGGCGGAGGCAGACAAGGCTAGCGGTGAGACAGACAAAGCAGTGAACAAAAGAGTCATGGGCTAAGCTGACTGAGTAGTGAGCTCACACTGGAGCAGATGGACGCCATGACTTGGGGGGAGCTGGAGACGCGTATTGAAGGGTGGCGACGGCAGACAAGGCTGGCGGTAAGTCGGACAGAACAGATTGATGAGTCGACGGGAACGTTGAGGACTAAAAATGGTGGTGTACTAATTTTTCTCACTAGAGTTAATTTACTAGGAAAGATACTGTACTAACTAGAAAATAGAATCTATCAACTAGAACATAGTGGTGTTCATGGCGGAGCGGAAGCTGTGTGAAACGGTTCTTCCGGGGTTGAGGCCTCTTTTCCCAGCCTCTCACATGGGTTGGAGGTGCACTCGCGGGCTTCCGATCACCAATGGATATCTCATCTCCCTGTCCTCCCGCCAAACCTCATTTCCTCCAGGTGCACGTGGTGTTCATGGCGGAGAGGGAGCTGTGCGAGACGGTCCTGACAGGGTTGGAGCCGCACACAGGCTCTGTTGTCAACATTGGATCAGAACCCCCTTACACCCCACCGCCCTCCACCCACCTCCACCGCTTCATTCCCCCAGGTGCACGTGGTGTTCATGGCAGAGAGGCAGCTGTGCGAAACGGTCCTTGCAGGGTTGGAGCCGCACACGGGGAAGGGTTGGGGCTCACGCTGAGCATGCTGTTTGGGTTCGGGGAGGCCTTGGCGCTGGCACTGGCTTCCCTTAATCCCATCAGTACTGTATTCCTGTCTGTCTGTCACTCACGCCCCCCTACTTCCCTACCCACCTCCCCCTGCTCTCGATCGCCCCTCATCCCCCCACCCCAGGTGCATGTGGTGTTCATGGCAGAGCGAGAGCTGTGCGGAACGGTCCTTGCAGGTCTAGAACTGCACACGGGCAAGGCGTTTGCGGACCTGGCAGGGCTCAACACCCCACCCATCCCCCCTCTCCCTTCACTCAGGTGCATGTGGTGTTCATGGCAGAGCGAGAGCTGTGCGAAACTGTTTTAGCCGGGCTGGAGCCGCACACAGGCAAGGCGTTTGCGGACCTGGCAGGGCTCACGCTGGGCATGCTGTTTGGGTTCGGGGAGGCGGTGGCGCGCAGCAAGAAGTCCCCCGAGAAGGTGTCTGTGCTCATGGACATGTACGAGACCATGCGGGATCTGATGCCTCAGGTGCGTTTCTGATGCTGTTTCTTTGGGTATGAGCTACGGCTGGGCATGCTGTTTGGGTTCGGTGAGGCTGTGTGGGATGTCATGCGATGGATTAGGCTCGGATTATGGCTTGCTCTTTGGGTTTGGGGAGGCGGTGGCGCGCAGCAAGAAGTCCATGTACGAGACCATGCGAGACCTCTTGCCGCAGGTAAGAGCTGGGTGCTGAAGGGGACGAGTGATGGACGGGTTGTCATAGTGAGGCATGCAAGGTGCCGTGCCGGTGCTCATGGACATGTACGAGACCATGCGCGACCTCATGCAGCAGGTGAGACCATGCGCGACCTCATGCAGCAGGTGAGACCATGCGCGACCTCATGCAGCAGGTGAGACCATGCGCGACCTCATGCAGCAGGTGAGACCATGCGCGACCTCATGCAGCAGGTGAGACCATGCGCGACCTCATGCAGCAGGTGAGACCATGCGCGACCTCATGCAGCAGGTGAGACCATGCGCGACCTCATGCAGCAGGTGAGACCATGCGCGACCTCATGCAGCAGGTGAGACCATGCGCGACCTCATGCAGCAGGTGAGACCATGCGCGACCTCATGCTGCAGGTGAGACCATGCGCGACCTCATGCAGCAGGTGAGACCATGCGCGACCTCATGCAGCAGGTGAGACCATACGCGACCTCATGCAGCAGGTGAGACCATGCGCGACCTCATGCTGCAGGTGAGACCATGCGCGACCTCATGCAGCAGGTGAGACCATGCGCGACCTCATGCTGCACGTGAGACCATGCAAGATTTGATGCCGCAGGTTAGTCGCGAATATATTCTTGCCTGCCCCCCCTGAACACCCCCCTCACCCTGCCCATGCCCCACACCCTTTGCTTTCAATTCTTATAGGTGGAGGTGGTGTTTGCGGGCTCAGCCTGTGATGCCATCCGAGGCAGTGCGCAGCAGCTGCTGCAGCACCTGGCGGCGGCGGCCAAGGAGGCGTTCAACAACTTTGAGCTCGCAGTGGAGAGCGAGGACAGCGACAAGGTGCTGCCTGATGGCGCCACGCACGGCCTCACCAGCTATGTCGTCAACTACCTCAAATACCTCTACGAGTGCGTTTTTAGTCTTAGTTTGAATATTTTTTTTTCCCCCCGGTGATTTTGCAATTACAAAAAGTCGAGGCTTTTCACAAAGGCCTCGCACGGGCTCACCAGCTATGTTGTCAACCACCTCAAATGCCTCCACGAACGAGTGCGTGTTCTGTTTTCAAGATACTATACTACACCTCATGAGTCGTCTCGAAACGAGCCTCGGATCTCTCCCCGATCTCTCTGGCCCCCTCGCCCCTCCCCTCCCCCAGGCGACCATGCAGGAGCTGTTTGGGCGGGAGAACCTCTTCGGAGAAGCCACCATCCGCATCTTTGCAGCGCTGCACGCCAACCAAGCTCTACCACTCCCCTCTTCTCCCCTCCCCCACCCACCCCACACACTCCTCCAACCAGCTACCAGGCGACCATGCAGGAGCTGTTTGGGCGGGAGAACCTGTTTGGCGAAGCCACCATCCGCATCTTTGCGGCGCTGCACGCCAACCTGGAGCGCAAGAGCAAGCTCTACCGCGACCCCGCACTCACCCAGCTCTTCCTCATGAACAACGTTCACTACATCGTGCACTCCGTCAGAAAGTAAGGAGATATTGGGGGGTGGTAGGGGGTTTAGTAGGGGGTTTAGTAGGTGCAAGCTCTACCGCGACCCTGCGCTCACCCAGCTCTTCCTCATGAACAACGTTCACTACATCGTGCATGCTGTGCGAAAGTAAGGGGCTGAGAGGGGTTGAGTGGAGTGAGAGGAGGCGTGGTGGGTTTTAAGGGTGCAAGCTGTACTGCGATCCCCCACTCACCCTGCTCTTCCTCATGAACAATGTTCACTACATTGTGCAATCCGTCAGAAAGTAAGGAGGAGTAGAGGGACAGCGAGGGTTAGTGGAAAGTCTAGGGCGCAAGATCTACCGCAACGTGATGCTGACTCAGCTCGATCTCATGAGCATCGTGCATTACATCGTGCACACTGTGAGGAATGAAAGGGTGGAGGGGTTGAAGGGAGAGGGTGGGTGGGGGAGGTGAGGGGAGAGGGTGGAGGGGTTGAAGGGAGAGGGTGGAGGGGTTGAAGGGAGAGGGTGGAGGGGTTGAAGGGAGAGGGTGGAGGGGTTGAAGGGAGAGGGTGGGTGGGGGAGGTGAGGGGAGCCTTGTCCACATTGCAAGTTGTGTTGTGCCGCAACACCCTCGTTCCTCATCAACAACGTACCCCAGGCAGAGCCATGAGCCAGGTGTGGCTCGGAATGAGCCGGGTGTGGCTCGGAATGAGCCGGGTGCGGCTCGGAATGAGCCGGGTGTGGCTCGGAATGAGCCGGGTGTGGCTCGGAATGAGCCGGGTGCGGCTCGGAATGAGCCGGGTGTGGCTCGGAATGAGCCGGGTGTGGCTCGGAATGAGCCGGGTGTGGCTCGGAATGAGCCGGGTGTGGCTCGGAATGAGCCGGGTGTGGCTCGGAATAAGCCGGGTGTGGCTCGGAATAAGCCGGGTGTGGCTCGGAATAAGCCGGGTGTGGCTCGGAATAAGCCGGGTGTGGCTCGGAATAAGCCGGGTGTGGCTCGGAATAAGCCGGGTGTGGCTCGGAATAAGCCGGGTGTGGCTCGGAATAAGCCGGGTGTGGCTCGGAATAAGCCGGGTGTGGCCCTTTTTGTGCTTATCCCACTGCCTCACCTTTCCACACTTCACCCTCCCTCTCCCTCCCCCTCTCTTGTCTCCCAGGGGCGAGCTGAAGGAGGTGGTGGGGAAGGACTGGATCGACCGGCAGCGGCGCATCGTGCAATCTTTGAGACGTCTCAAACACCGTTCCCCTCAACCTTCCCCCCTTCCTCCCCTTCCCCCCTTCCTCCCCTTCCCCCTTCCCCCCTTCCTCCCCTTCCCCCCTTCCTCCCCTTCCCCCCTTCCCCGCACGCAGGGGCGAGCTGAAGGAGGTGGTGGGGAAGGACTGGATCGACCGGCAGCGGCGCATCGTGCAGCAGCATGCTGCGGCGTACCAGCGCACTTCGTGGAACAAGGTGAGTAGGGGAGGAAAGAGTGCTGCACACCTGCCCTTCAAAAGTGCTCATTCTTCTTTCTGATCGCCCCGCCCACTGGCTGGCACTGCATGCTCTCTCTGTGACAAGCAGCGCCCACTGGCTGGCACTGCATGCTCTCTCTGTGACAAGCAGCGCCCACTGGCTGGCACTGCATGCTCTCTCTGTGACAAGCAGCGCCCACTGGCTGGCACTGCATGCTCTCTCTGTGACAAGCAGCGCCCACTGGCTGGCACTGCATGCTCTCTCTGTGACAAGCAGCGCCCACTGGCTGGCACTGCATGCTCTCTCTGTGACAAGCAGCGCCCACTGGCTGGCACTGCATGCTCTCTCTGTGACAAGCAGCGCCCACCTCTCCTCTCCCTTCCCCATCCTGCCCTTCTCTTCACTGCCCACCGTATTTTTCAGTCTGCTGTAACCTCGTTCCCTGCCACTCCACCTCTGGTTCTCCACCTCAGTCACCTCAATCTCCTCCTTCCCTCTCTCCATTGTCCCACTCCCTCTCTCTCCATTGCCCCACTCCCTCTCTCCATTGCCCCACTCCCCTCCCTTCTCCATCCTTTCTCTCCCTCACTTCACCGCCCGCCAGATTTTTGGGCTGCTGACTTCAGCAGGTCTGAACGCGGATGGCAAGGAGGGCAGCGTGAGCCGCAGCGCCCTCAAAGAGAGGTGGGGGGGGAGGGATTGGAGGGTGTGGGGGGCCGAGGAAGGGGGCAGGGTGGGGAGGGAGAGAGGTGGGGAATGAGAAAAGGGAGGTGTGAGGAGGGCAGCGTGAGCCGCAGCGCCCTCAAAGAGAGGTTGGGGGGAGGGGGAGACAGGGAGGGGGGCGTGGGGAGGAGGGGAGGAAGGAGGGGGAGGGGAGGAGAGGTGCCGGGGGGTTGGGGGGAGGGGAGGGGAGAAATGGGGAAAGAGAGGTAAGGAGGGAAGCGTGAACTGCAGCGCTCTCAAGAGGAGGTGCGAAGGAGGTTTGGGGGAGGGGGGGTGCTTGAGGGACAGAAAGGGGGAAGAGATGTGCGTGGTAGGGGGAGATGGGAAGGGAAGGGTTGCAAGCGTGGGAGTGGAGGGGGTAGACAAGAGCGAAGGGGAAGGGGGGAAGAGAAGTGCTAGGAAGGTGCGAGGGTGGTGGGGGTTGAGAGGAAGGGAGGGGAGCAGATGCAGGGGCTGATGGGTTTCAAATGTGGATTTTTTTTCGCGCTAATTAGCTGATCATGTGCTCCACTGGCAATTCTCTGATTTTGCTGACTGCCTCGGTTCTGCAGGTTTGGCCTGTTCGACGCACCATTCGAGGAGCTGCATCGCATGCAGTGCATGTGGAAGCACCCTGCCACATCCTTTCCTCCCCACCTTCATCTCACCTCTCTCCACTCCTCTCTCTCTCTATCCCACCCATCCAGGTTCCGCGTGTTCAACGCAACATTCGAGGAGCTGCATCGCACGCAGTGCATGTGGAAGATCCCAACTTTCCTCCACTTCCTCTCCCCAACCCACTCTCTCGCATCTTCCCCCCACCTCCCGATCACAGATTCCGTGTGTTCAATGCAACATTTGAGGAGCTGCATCGCACGCAGTGCATGTGGAAGATCCCCGATCCCGAGCTGCGATCCGCCGTGCAGTTGCAGATTGCCGAGGTGCTGCTGCCTGCATACCGCGCCTTCGTGCAGCGATACACGTGAGTTGCCTGCCGTTCCGACTATGTGTTGCATGTGCTGCTGCCCGCATACCGCGCCTTCGTGCAGCGATACACGTGAGTTGCCTGCCGTTCCGACTATGTGTTGCATGTGCTGCTGCCCGCATACCGCGCCTTCGTGCAGCGATACACGTGAGTTGCCTGCCGTTCCGACTATGTGTTGCATGTGCTGCTGCCCGCATACCGCGCCTTCGTGCAGCGATACACGTGAGTTGCCTGCCGTTCCGACTATGTGTTGCATGTGCTGCTGCCCGCATACCGCGCCTTCGTGCAGCGATACACGTGAGTTACCTGCCGTTCCGACTATGTGTTGCATGTGCTGCTCCCCGCATACCGCGCCTTCGTGCAACGATACACGTGAGTTGGGTAGAGAGTGAGGTGTGTTGGGTCATCCGAAGCGGACTCATTAGTCACCTCAGCTGCAGATTGCTGAGGTGCTGCCACCTGCATACCGCGCCCTTTGTGCAGCGATACACGTGAGTTGGGCATGACAGTGGTGGGTGCGCCTCCTGACAGAGTGCTGTTTGTGTGGTTACATGTGTTTTGTAGTCTACATGTGTCCGCATACACAGTTCCTGGTTGCAGCAATGCATGCCCCAGATTGCAGACGTGCTGCTGCCCGCTTACCGTGCCTTTGTGCAGCGATTCACGTGAGTTGCCCGTGCCTTGGTGCATGAGCATCTCCTCTTCTTGCCTCTTGTCTTTTCCCCCCCCACCCTCCTTCCTGCTGCTGAAGGGTGTTTTTGAGAATTCTCAAAAACACCCTTCAGCTTCACGTGAGTTGCCAGCTGCTTCTTTGTGCATGAGCATCTCCTCTCCTTGCCTCTTGTCTTTCCCCCCCCACCCTCCTTCTCTCACCCAACATCAGCCCAGTGCTGGGAATTGGGGGCTGTGTTTCATCTCATGCATGTCCCTTGTCTCTCCCACTCCTTTCCTCCCTCCTCCCCCTCTCCCCAGCCCGGTGTTGGAGAGTGGGGGTCATTTCGGCCGCAGCAGTGAGGCGGCCAGCATCTCACATCAGCCCATAGTCTCCCTTCTTTCATCTCATGCCTTTCCCTTTTCTCTCCCGTCCTCTCCCCTCCCCCCACATCAGTCCGGTGTTGGAGAGTGGGGGTCGTTTCGGCCGCAGCAGTGAGGCGGCCAGCAAGTACATTCGCTTCACAGAGGAGGGCCTTGACTCGCTGCTCAACGAGTTCTTCCAGGGCCGGGAGAGCCGCAACATCCTCCTCACCCAACCCTCCGCTGCCCGCTAGCCCCACACGCACCCCACACCTACCCCACACGTGCCCCACACGCGCCCCACATGCGCCCCACACGCGCCCCACACGCGCCCCACACGCGCCCCACACGCGCCCCACACGTGCCCCACACGTGTTCTCTCCCACACATGCTGCGGATATCGACTCGCTGCTCAATGAGTTCTTTTAAGACAGAGAGAGCCGCAACATCCTCCTCACTCAACCCTCCGCTGCACGCTAGTCTTCACGTGTGTCCCTCCCACGCGTGCCCCACGCATACCCCACAGGTGTCTTATAGGTGTTTCATCCATAGGTGCCCCACACATGCCCCACACATGCCCCACACATGCCCCACATGTGTCCCATGCGCATCGCATACATGCTCCATCCATACGTGCCCCGCACGTGATGTGGTCGTAGCTTTATGTGTGTGACACGCGAGCCCCTCACATGTCCCACACGTGCTGTGGTCATCATATGCATCGTTACGCTCTAGCATCACGTTGTGAATATTCACATCAATAGAGGCGCTTATGGATTGTAGTACCGTATCACCCCCCATATGCGGTTAAATTTAAAGGGGGGGGCTTTTCATTGAGTATGGGGATATGCGCATGCGCTTATAAAATGACTGATGTAGATGTATATTTTTAAAGCACCAAAGTGTGCATCTCATTCTTGCTGTTCCAATCGAGTCGAAGTTTTATAGCTTTAGGAATCAGAAATCGTGCGCAACCAATTTTTTGCCAACCCACAGGGGCAAAGACACGCCATTCTGCTGCCCCTATGCCAACACACCCTGACTGGACACGCAGCTTGTAAATTCTTTCCGAGTCAACCAAAGCAAAAATCCAAATCAGAACTCGTTAACGTTTCCCAAGGGTTCAAATTTGAAATTAAGCATGCGCTTATAATAAATCATGGATTCTATTGGGTGCGCTTATAACTGAGTTCCGGCAATAAGCGCTATGCTCCAAATAGAAGCGTTGGCGCTTTTAATAGGATGGCGCTTCTATCCGGCGCCATACGGTACGTGAAATCAAGTAGGGGCCATGGGTGTTTTACCGCATCGTGTGGACACGGCTTAGCCCTTTGTAAAGTTGTGGTTTTAGCTGCCCCTGCCTTATGTAGGTGTTTAGAGAACAATCTCCAAAAATGTTTTCCAATTGCATGAGCCTTCAACGTCAAACTATAATACTGTTTGTTGGTTGTAGGCTTACATGGTGTACAACACTTTCTAGGGTTTCCTTTTGTATCCCAACTCTTACTAGTTTCATCATTCTTGGCCTAGATTCTCAACATGCTATCAGAGCAGTAGGTCCGTAGGACCGTTTCTTTAGGGCCCACCGGTTACCGCGTTACCCCACGCCCTACCCTGCCCTGTACCGCCCGCGCTTGCCGCCCCTGTAGCTCGCGCGCCGCTTTTCTGCCCCGCGCGCTGCCTCTGTTGCACCGCGCGCAGCCCTTACTGCCCCGCGCGCCGCCTGCGCAGATCGCGTGCGGCCCGTTGCGGCCCCGTGCGCCGCCGCAGCAGCCCGCGCGACTTTTTTCCTGCCCTGCGCGCCGCCCCTGCTGGCCGCGTGCCGCTTTTCCTGCCCCGCGCGCCGCCCCTGCAGGCCACGCGCCGCTTTACCTGCCCCGCGCACCGCCCCTGCAGCCCGAGCACTGCCGTTCCCGGCCCCGCGCGCGCCCCAGCAGCCCGCGCACCGCCCTTGCTGCCCCGCGCGCACCTTAAGCAGCCCTCGCACTGCCTCTGCCCTGCCCCGTGCGCCACCCTTGCAGCCCGCTCCCAGCCTTTGCAGCCCTCGCACTGCCTCTGCCCTACCCGCGCGCCCGGCCCTGCCCTGCCTGCGCGCCCTACCCTGCCCTATGCACGTCCTGCCTTGCTGCGCGTCGCCCTGCCAGTTGCGTGCCGCCTCATTCCTGCCTTACGCTCTGCCCTGTACTGCTCGCTATGGCTTCCCTCGCTGTTCTCGAGTTCGACCCTGACGGTCGTCCGATTCAGTTCGAAACCTGGCTTGATGATTTACAGCTGTACCTGCTGAGCGATATTAAGGACGGTGTTTCCCTCTTTGATCACACGTCTGAAGCCTCTACTGCCCCTCCTGACACTGCTGACAGTGCGACTCGCTCACAGTGGCTTTCCCGTGACGCTGCCGCTCGCCTAGCCGCTTGCAACCACCTACCGACGACCGAACGCGCTCACGTTGGCCAGCATAAGACTGCTAAAGCCATGTTCAACGCTGTAGTCGCTCGCTATTCCTCCCCTGCCACAGCAGCTTTCGGCCGCCTTATCCTGCCCTTCCTGTTTCCCGAGTTGTCGTCCTTTGCCACTGTAGAGGACCTCATTACCCACCTTCGCGCTGTTGAAGCTCCCTACCGTGCTGCCCTCCCAGACGAGTTCCTCCCCAAGAACGAGCCCCCGATTTACATCACTCTCTATTTCATTGTCACTCGCCTCCCTGAATCACTTCATGCAGTTAGGGACCACTTTCTCGCACTTTACCCCACAAAGCTCACCATCGACCTGCTCGAGAAGCAACTCCTTGCAGCTGAGACTAGTGCAGTCGCTGTAGGTGCTACTCGTGGCACTCCTCGCACACCCCTCTTTGAAAGGTGCTCCCCCTCCCCTCTTGCCCCCTCTGTTGCTACTGCTGCTGCTGTCGACTTCCTTGGTGCTGAGGAGGTCGGTGCCGCTTCTGCTCCTTGTGCAAAGCGTCGCAGCGGCAAGGGCAAGGGCGGCAAGGGTAGTGGAGGTGGTGGCGGAGGAGGTGGTGGTGGAGGTGGTGGAGGCGGTGGAAACGGCGGACGCGGCGGTGGTGGCGGTGGGAGTGGTGGTGGGAGTGGGGGCGGTGGCGGCAGTGGCGGCGGCGGCGGTGGGAGTGGTGGCAGTGGTGGTGGCGGCGGAGGGGGTAGTGGCGGTGGCGGCGGCGAAGGCAGTGGTGGTGGTCGGGCTGGAGCAGTTCAGCGTCAGCAGCAACAGCGCTCGCGTGCGCCCCTCACGCCCCAGCAGCTTCGTGAGTGGCTTGCTCAGCGTGGAGGTAGTGCTCGCTGCCCGTACGCCATTCGCACAGGTGCCCGCGCTGGTCAGATGTGTGGGAAGGCTCACACCCAGCACCGCTGCTTCTCCCGCCTAGACGACGCTTGGCGCACTAAGATGGGCGAGGAGATTGAGATGCCCCGCTGGGCAGACCTGCTTAGGGCTGGTGTTGATATCTTTGCTCTTGACTTTGATGCTATCATTGCTGGCATGTATGCTTTGACTGTTAGTGTTGAGGGTGACTGTTACTTGTGTGTGCCGCCCGACCCAGGTATAGAGGCTGCTGCTCTAGGTGCTAGTGCGTCTGCTCTCTTTGGTACTGCGCCTGCTGAGGCCTTGCACACCTTCACGCTTGACTCAGGTGCTTCCCGCTATTTCTTTCGCGATAGTACCACACTCATACCACTCCCTAGACCGGTTGCGGTCTCCCTGGCTGACCCCTATGGGGGTCCAATGCTTGCACGTTCCTCCACTGTTCTCCCGTGTCCGGCGGTTCCGTCCGGCTCACTGTCAGGTCTCCACCTCCCCTCGTTCTCGACGAACCTGGTGAGTACCGCGGCTCTTCAGGATGAGTGGGTTGATACCTTTACCCCTGGAGGCCAGCGTGTGGCGATCTGCACGTGCTCCCGGACGGGCCGCCACCTGGCCACGTTTACCCGTCGGCCTGGGTCGAGTCTGTACACACTGACTACTGACCCTCCTCAGGTTGCTGCGTCAGGTCAGGTGGCTGCGTCAGGTCAGGTAGCTTCCCCCTGCGAGTGCCGTCACCTATCGCACCAGACTCTCCTTTGGCACCACCGCCTTGGTCACCCCTCCCTGCCACGCCTTCGTGGCATGCACTCCTGCCTCCTGGTCACCGGTCTTCCCTGGTCTCTTCCTTCCCTCCCGCCCTTGCCTGCCCCGCCCTGCATTCCTTGCATCGAGGGGCGGCAGCGCGCCGCTCCTCACTCCTCCTCGTTTCCCCCGACGATTGCTCCCCTGCAGACTCTCCACATGGACGTGTGGGGCCCAGCCCGCATCCAGGGACAGGGCCGTGAGTGGTACATTCTACTTGTCGTCGACGACTACTCGTGTTACACCACGGTCTTCCCCTTGCACACCAAGGGTGAGGTCCCTGCTGTCTTGATCCCTTGGATCCGCGCTGTACGTCTCCAGCTCCGCGAGCGGTTCCGCACGAACCTTCCCGTCCTGCGTCTGTACTCTGACAGAGGTGGTTAGTTTTCCTCTGACCTCTTGCGGGACTTTTGTCAGGGGGAGGGCATCCTCCAGTCGTTCATGCTTCCGGCCTCACCGCAGCAGAATGGGGTTTCTGAGCGCCGCATTGGCTTAGTCATGGAGGTCGCTCGTACCTCCATGATCCATGCGGCTGCTCCCCATTTTCTGTGGCCGTTTGCGGTCCGGTACGCTGCGCATCAGCTCAACCTCTGGCCCACGCTGCGTTGGACGGGGAAGGTTGGCGATGCGTCGCGGTTCCGGGTCTGGGGCTCTCGTGCCTTTGTCCGCGATACCACCGCGGACAAGCTCTCCTCTCGCGCCATTCCCTGCGTCTTCCTTGGCTTTCCCCCTAACGCGCCTGGCTGGCAGTTTTACCACCCCACTTCGCGCCGTGTCTTCTCCTCTCAGGACGTCATGTTTGACGAGTCGGTTCCCTTTTACCATCTCTTCCCCTACCGCACTGCCCCTCTCCCCCCCCCCGCCGCTCTTCCTCGCTCCAGGTCCCCCTCCGGTAGACCCCATCCCCCCTTTGGGTCCTGCTCCTTCAGGTGTCTCTCTGGTGGACCCACTTCCCTTGGCTGAGCCTGTCGAGGTCACTGGTGACTCAGGTGCTGCTGGGGGTGGCCCTGCTCGGGGTACTGCGTCTGGGGGTGCTGAGACTGAGCGTGCGGGGCCTGGGGGTGCTGCGTCTGGAGGTGCTGAGCCTGGGGGTGCTGAGCCTGGGGGTGCTGAGCTTGGTGGTTCTGAGCGTGAGGTTGCTGAGTCTGGGGTTGTTCTTGGAGCCTGGGGGTGCTGAGCCTGGGGTTGCTGAGCCTTCAGGTGCTGAGACTAGGGGTGTTGCGCCTGAGGGTGCTGAGTCTGGGGGTGCTGAGCTTGTGTTGTTTCTACAGGTAGCCCCTCTCGCCGCAGCAGCTGCGCGAGTGGCTCGTCCGACGCGCCCGCCTTTGGAGTCGCGCTGGAGCTGGAGACCCTGGAGCTGAGGGCACCGACGCTGGCGCTGGAGGTGCTGACCTTGGGGGTGCTGAGACTGGAGGCACCGGAGCTGGAGGCGCTGGCACTGGTGGTGCTGACGCTGGGGATAATGGGGCTGGAGACCCTGTGCAGCAGCGTAAGCCCCTCTCCCCACAGCACCTGCGCGAGTGGCTTTGCCGTCGGAGTCGCGCAGGAGCTGGAGGCGCGGGAGCTGGGGGTTCTGGCGCTGGTGACGCAGGAGCTGGAGGCAGTGGAGCTGGGGATGCTGGAGCTGGAGCTACTGGAGCTGGCGGCGCTGGTACTGGAGGCGCTGGAGTAGGAGGCGCTGGAGCTTGAGCTACTGGAGCTCGAGGCACTGGAGCTGGCGGCTCTGGTCCTGGAGGTGCTGGAGCTGGAGGTACTGTGCAGCAGCGACCGTTCTTCTTGCCGCCGCCGCAGCTGTCCGAGCTTCCGCCCGAGTCGGTGCTCCGTCAGGTTCTTAGTCTTCCTTCGTCCACTGCCCTTCCCACGGACTCACCGCTGCCTGCCCCGTCTCGTTACACTGAGCAGCCGGTCTCCCTTACAGAGCGTCGCGAGCCTGCGTCTCGCCCTGTCTCCCCTGTCCGCACTGCTCGCACCGCTCGTCGTGTCCCGCGTCCGCGTCCTCCTCCTGTGCCAGGTACTCACACTATGGCACTTCGTCCTTCCTCTGCTCCACAGCGCGTCCCTCTGCCGTCTCCTCCTGCGTCCTCTCTTCCTGAGATTCCTGACCCTGAGTCTGACTGTGTTCGTGTTGCCAGCCCTACTATCAAGCGTCTCCTGGCTACTATTGTCACTGACTCGTAGTTGCTGAGCTTGTGGACTTTGCTGTTGCGTGTCGTCTAGACTACGCCGCCAGTCTTGTTGCTGAGTCTGAGTCTGTCTGTCCCCCGTCCGTCGGGGGTGAGTGTGCTCTTGGCACGGACGTCCTTGAGGACACGCAGGAGGACTTTGAGTCTCTTGCGGCTGCTGTACCTCATCTCATGGCCTGGCTGCTTGCACCTGAGGGAGACCCGGATGCACTGGACATCCCGACCCCGCGCTCTTACGCAGAGGCGATTTCGGGTCCCTACTCCTCTCAGTGGCAGACAGCCATGGACGTAGAGATGGCATCCTGGAAGTCCACAGGCACCTACGTCGACGAGGTTCCCCCTCCTGGGGCGAACATAGTCGATGGCATGTGGATTTTCAGGGTGAAGCGGCCGCCGGGTTCTCCGCCTGTCTTCAAGGCTCGTTACGTTGCACGAGGCTTCAGTCAGCGACAGGGAGTTGACTTCTTCCAGACCTTCTCCCCTACCCCGAAGATGACCACTCTTCGGGTGCTGCTACACGTTGCTGCTCAGCGTGACTATGAGCTTCACTCTCTTGACTTCAGCACAGCGTTCTTGCAGGGCAGCCTGCACGAGGAGATCTGGCTGCGCTGCCCACCTGGCTTTACTGGGTCGTTTCCTCCTGGTACCCAGTGGAGGCTTCAGCGGCCAGTCTACGGTCTCCGCCAGGCGCCTCGTGAGTGGCACGACACACTGAGGACGACACTTGCGGCTCTCGGGTTTGCTCCTTCGACTGCTGACTCGTCGCTGTTTCTGCGCACAGACATTTTGCTGACGTCGTTCTACATCCCCGTGTACGTCGACGACCAGGTGTTTGCCACTGCTGACACTGAGGCACTCGCCCTTGTGAAGTCGGAGCTGCAGAAGAGACACACGTGCATAGACCTGGGTGAGCTGCGCAGCTACCTTGGCTTGCAGATCACCCGGGACAGAGCACGCCGCACCATCACCCTGACTCGGTCACACATGGTGCAGCAGGTCCTTTAGCGCTTCGGCTTCCAGTTCTCCTCACCACAGTCCACTCCTCTGCCTACCGGTCACTCGTTTTCAGTAGGGCCGATTGGCCCGTACCCAGAGCTTGTGGGCTTCCTCATGTACCTGATGACCTGCACTCGACCTGACCTTGCGTACCCTCTTAGCATCCTAGCTCGCTACGTTGCGCCTAGGAGACACCGGCGAGAGCACTTGGAGGCTGCTAAGAGGGTGCTGCGCTACTTGTGCAGTACATCAGGCATGGGGCTGGTGCTTGGAGGACGGGGTGACGTTGTCCTCACTGGACACTCAGACGCCTCTTGGGTTGACGACCTGGCTACACAGCGGTCGTCCCAGGGTTACACCTTCAGCCTTGGTTCCGGCTCTGTCTCTTGGCGGTCTACCCGCTCTTCTTCTGTTCTCAGCTCCAGTTGTGAGGTTGAGATCTACGCCACAGCCATGGCTGCACAGGAGTTACGCTGGCTCACCTACCTGCTGACTGACTTGGGAGAGCGGCCTCGTTCTCCTCCAGTTCTGTACGGCGACAACAAGGCAGCCCTCGCCTTGTGTCAGGAGCACAGACTGGAGCACAGAACGAAGCACATCGCTCTGCGTTACTTTCTTGCTCGAGAGCTGCAGCAGCGTGGCCAGCTTCGTCTTGCTTACGTGGACACGCGGGCCAACACAGCTGATATATTCACCAAGGCACTTTCGCCTAGTGATCATCAGCGTCACTGCACTGCTCTAGGCCTCGTGCCTACGTTCTCTCACTTGCTCACTGCATGACTTTGCTTGTACTGTGATCTATATATATCCTTGCATGCTTACATTTGCTAGGTAGTGATCACTGTACTGTTTGCTCTCTCTTATATAACTATGCATGTGAGCTGGCCATGTGGCCTCTTACTTGTGCTCGGAATGTGTGGTGACTTCGTGATCCACCTTGAGCTTGCATTGCTCGTTTTGACTGGTCTTGTGACCCCTTATTCTCCCCCACTTTGCCTATGGGGGTGTGTCAGAATATAATATTGTTTGTTGGTTGTAAGCTGTATTGGGGTACCTTACATGGGGTACAACATTTTCTAGGGTTTCCTTTGTAGTTTCATTATTCTTGGCCTAGATTCTCAACATTCAAGTACACAAAAGCATCACAAAGTGTTGAAATTTTATGTTACCAAATTGACGTACTGCTTAGGGCCTGTGCTAGGATTTAGGGCATTCGGAGTCCTCAGGGCAACTCTTGAAATATTAAAAAGATGCCCTTGTTTTTTAGGGCGAAACTATATGGCCACACTGAAGTTTCAGGGTACCTATAGCCCTTGTCCTGATATATTAGGACAAAAAAATCGCAAGACACTGATTGGTAGTGCAGCAGTGTGCCTACTAAAGAACATCGCAACCCAGGGTGCATGCGATAAATAAATGTGCAACGTGGCAAAGGATCGCTCGTGCCAAGGCAGGACCAGTTTTGGGGGGAGAAATGGACACAGGCCCTCCCTTCTACCCCCCACCCCCTCCCCCCTTCTTTATTCGCGTCATTGCGTTCCTCACTTTCATACTGACGCTCCATGGCAAAATATCACGGCCATCTTGAGATTTCAAACAAAACATTCGACATTAACTTGAAGAAACAAGTTGAAAATCAGCATCATCCTGAAATTACAGGGAAACATATAAAAACATCATGAAATCAGGGTAATCAGTATGTTTTCCCTGATATGTGGGCCCGAGTATAGCTTTCTTCGGTATTTTAGTCCAATACACAATTGAAATGGAGAGCAAACCAGGAGAGCATAAGATTATGTTTTGGGCTTCTCTTTACAGTGTGTGTCATAAAATTTTGGTTGGTGTGATGATCGAGGATTGAGCTCGGAGAAGTGTGTTGTAAAATGATTGATTCACGGCATGGGTACAACACGAGGCTATATATAGTCTCGACACAAGGCAGGTAACCCAGGTGTTACGCGAATGTTCTGAGGGTCGCGAAGCGTCCCGAACAGGGACGTCGATATCAGACGAAATTCGTCTGATGGTCTGAAAATCAAACTCGTTTCTTAGTGTTCATCTGGATTTGGAGACAGTGAATTTTTTTTCATCTGAATCACTAGACATGTTAAATTTATTCGTCTGAGACCAACGATACGCCCCATCAGGCCACGCGTACATTTGCCGAGGGGTGCATTCACTGATACGCCAAAGAGTTCTTTGACCCTCAAAATATTAACTGTGATGCGTCCAAATGTAAAAGTTGACGCGTCGAAACGTTCTCTGACTCGTCAACAGATTCACTCTGACGCATCAAATGGTTCTCTGACACATCAACATATTTTCTGACACACAGACACATTTGCTGTTCAGGGGGGGATTCTATCTGCTCTCACAGCCTTCCGCCAGCAGGCCAACACTTTCGAATTTTAAGCAGATGTTCCACTACAAAGGCATGCGATTTCGGGAACTGGAATTTTACATGTTTGTTCATCCTCGTACATATGTTTCGTTTTTATCTGATTTTACAGACTTGGTAAAACTTTTCGTCTGAATTTCCAGTCTATCCAAAAAATTTCGTTTGACGCTCAGACGAAGGAAAAAACTCCCATCTGATTTTCAGACAGGGTTTTTTTACTAGCAACGTCCCTGGTCACGAACAGAACTTTTCCGAACTCGGTAGAAAGCAATTCTGCGGCAACCGAAAGGCTTGAGTTCGGTACACGTAACCTGGTTCGGTGCTATAACTATAATAACATATAGGAATGCACCTAACCTAGGCCATCAAGCCAGCAAAGCCAGCAAAGCCAGCAAACCACACACGCAAAGCCAGCAAAGCCAGCATAAGCCGTCGTACTCTCACACGTCTGTCAGAATCCCAACCACTAACCACTGGGATAAAAGGGCTTGTTTGTGTAGCGGGCCCATAACCCCCCAGGCTGACGTGCCTGTAACCCTTCCCTAGGATCAATCCGAGATCTCCAGTGGACCTCGGACAATGTCCCCCCCTCAAAGCTGGGTGGCGTGAGATACACCCTGCTTGACAAGATAGTCCTTGAGAGCACGGCGTGTGTTGCCCTTTGTGGGGTCATAGCCCTTCCAGCGTATTAGGAACTCGGGGGTCTTGCCATCGCGACGCCGATGAGTGAGAACACGTTCCACCTCGTACGCTGGTTCATCCTACGCGAGAATAGGTGGTGGTGGTGGTAGCTGCCTTCCCTGGAACTATTGGTTGCGGTCCTCGTAGGGCTTCAGTAGCTGAACATGGAAAGCATTGTGAAGCTTCCACGTAGAAGGTTAGCGCAATCAGAATGTTACTCGTGTCACCTGTGCCTTAGCAAGAAAGGGGCAACAGAAGCGAGGCCGGAGTTTGGATGGTAGGTGAGACAGGTTCAAGTTGCGCGTGTTGAAGAGCACGTGATCTCCGACTGCTACTGATTGATCTCGTCGCTGCTAGTCGGCATACTGCTTCTGGGAGTTCTGCATCGTGGTGAGACATTGTTGGGTCTTCTCCTAGAGCTGCTGCATGGTGGTGACGAAGTCGTGAGCGGCTTGGACGTGTGCCGGTGTGGTTGGCTGCTGTCTTGTATATGGTTTCGTCCGTAACACAGGAAGAAAGGAGTTTTTCCTATGGTCACATATGAAGTGTTGTTGTAAGCGAATTCACGTGTCGGTAACTGTAAGTCCCAGTGGCTGATGCCGTCATCGCAAGCTGTGCACAGTAGCTGTTTAACCATCAGATTGAGTCGCTCAGTCTGTTTGACAGTCTGGGGATGACATGCTGAAGGCATCGCAAGCTTTGTTCCCAACAAACACAAAAGCTCCTTCCAGAACTTACTCGTGAATTTTGGGTCTCTGTCTGAGATGAGTGTAGCGGGGATGCCATGGATGGTGATGATGCGGTCAAAGAAGAGGCGAGCAGTTGCTTCAGCTATAGCTGTGGCGTGGGTCGCGATGAAGTGACCCATTTTGAAAAATTTATCGATAACTACGAGGATGGCGTCATTCCCTCGTGAGGTCGAAGGTAGTCTCGTGATGAAGTCGAGGCTAACGACCTGCCATGGCTGCTCCGGTACGGGTAGAGGCTGAAGTAACCCTGCTTTTTTCTGCTTGCTACTCTTCATCCGCTGGCATGTGTCGCATGAGGTGACGAACTGCTGCACGTCTGTTGCCATCCGGGGCCAGTAGTAATACTTTGCTATCCCTGCTAACGTCTTGTTGCTCCCAAAATGTCCCGCGTATGACACGTCGTGGAACTCCTCTAGTAGGATCTGCCGTAGCGGGGCATAGTTCGGTACCCAAATCTTTCATATTCCCTTCCTTACAGCTAAGTTCTTTTCCCACTGTAACAGCTGTAGCGATCTCTGCGTCCACGGAGTACCCATGTTGGAATAGACCCTTGAGTAGAGGGTTCATCCCGTCGAGCTGGATGCCTGCTACATGTCCGGGGCGGCTCAACGCGTCTGCTTTGTTGTGTAGCCCGGGCTTGTAGACGATGTCGTAGTGGAAGTGAGTTTCCAAGAAGTCCACCCACCGCACTTGTTGTCGTGAGAGTGCCGGCTGCGACTTTATGTATTTGAGACTGCAGTGGTCAGTGTAGACTGTAGTCTTGGCTCCCTCTAGGTAACACCTCCACGTCTTGAATGCTGTGACTATCGCTAAGGTTTCCTTGTCGTGGATTATGTAGTTCTGTTATGCTCCGTGTAGCTTTTTACTGAGGTTGGCAATGGGCTGCAAACCGCGTCCGTGATCCTGCATCATAACTGCTTCGACTGCCTGGTCACTAGCGTCTGCTTTCATCACGTAATCTCTGTCTGGCTCCGGTAGGATGAGTACTGACGATGTTGTCAGTGCTTTCTGTAGCTGCTCCTTGGCTTGTTGTTTAGGAGTATCTCACTTATAGGGCGCATCCTTTTCAGTAAGTTCGTCAGTGGCGCTGCTATCTTAGCGTACTGTGGCACGAACCTGTTGTAGTAGTTGACAAAGCCTAGGAACTGCTACAACTCTTTCACGTTCTCCAGAATTTTCCA